GGGGCTGGTCTCTGGATGGGCCAAGGGGCTGACGTGATCTCTCCGGCTCCAAAGGACAATAGGACACTCCTCTCTGAGCCACTGACCTGGCTCTTCCTGATCAAACTCCAGGCTCTGTCCTGTACTGGCGCTCCAGGACACCCACGCAAAGAAATAAGGACCCGGAAACAAACAAACGGCATTGACTCTACTCACCAATGTGAATGTTTCATAGAGTCTAGCTAAAAATAGATTTGGCTCTCCATGAGGCCTGAGGGAGGCACTGCAGCAGGTGAGTGCGTGCTGTCTCCAGGTCGCTCCCCCTCACCCGGAGGGAGGGGTGTGCCTCCCTCCTCTTACACACACACACATACACACACACTCACCATCTCAGCCACTCCCACAGCACGGTTTCACCAGTGCCAGAGGCCCTTCCTGCTGCCATAACAAAAAATACCCTGAAATAGGTGGCTTGGAAACCACAGAAAGTCGTTTCTCACAGTCTGGAGGCCAGCAGCGAGGGTTAGGTGCTGGCAGGTGTGGTATCTGGTGAGAGCCCTCAGGGACGGCTGTCTTCTTATTGTAACCCCCCACGGTGGAAGGAGCAGTCTGGGGTGGGGGGGCCCTAATCCCACGCATAAAGGCTCCACCCTCAGGATGTAATCACCTCCCAAAGGCCTCACCTCCTAATGCCGTTACCTTCGGGACAGGACTTTGAGGAGGCAGAAACAGTCCATTGGGGCAAGGAGGTCAGGCATCGGCTCTGCTGGACACCACTGCCGCACAAGCCCCCCAGCCCCACATCACACCTCCTTGCAAAGCGCTGATTCCCACTCCTCCTTTTGCCCTCCGCATTTATCCCACGTGCACCCACACCTGTCTCAGACAGATGACGCCAGTAGGAACCTGGTCTACACCACCTACTTTGCTGGGTGACATTGGACAACTGAGTTTGCCTCTCTGCCTTGCTCCCACTGCACAGCGATGGTTCTATCACCTGCCTTGCAGAGAGACAGCAATCAAGCCAGATGGGCACGGGGTTGGAGCTCTATCAGTTACTTCAAAATCAGTGATCAGCTTGGGGTTGCAGGCAAGAAGCCATCAGCTACTGACAGAGGGGTAAAGCCAGGCTCTGGTGGCCTCAGTGTGTCACCACTTCTCACACTCCACGAGGGAGGGATCATGGTTCCCGTTTCACAGCAGGAGCTCAGGGAGGGTCCAGGCAGCCTTGGAGGGCTGGCATGGATGCCTTGGGGTGGTAGGGGGAGGCACAGCTGTGGAAGAAATGAGGAAGGCAGGTTAGTGAGCAGTGCCCACCTCGCCTGGACTCTGCCCCTTCAGACCTGGCCAGCTGAGACTGTGCTGAGCCTGACGGGGGCACCTGTCCAGGTCCCTGTCATCAGGATGACCCCTTCTGCCATGGTCACTGGCGCGCCCCGTCAGCCACATAGAGACAGGGTTCTGTAAGAGCCAGCAAGGACTTTTTGGAAGCCAGGCACCAGTCCCTTTCTTTCATTGTGTCTGAAGCCACACTCCCCCTGCCCCTTTGAGAATGAGAATCCAGTCTCCTAAATCCAGTCCAGGATTTTTATGTTGCAAAGGAGAAGGGCTGAAAATTCTCCAAGGGGGGGTCCACTGGCTCCTGGCAAGCTTCTAGCCTGTGCCCTTCTTCCAGCCCTGTGCAAGAAAAGCAGACGGCATTGTGGGTGCACAGAAGCCCCAGGGACCCAGAGCCAACCCAGGGCCATGGGTATCATAGCCATCGGCTCTTCCCTGAGGCACCTGCTATACCTCTTTATTCTCTGGACTGGCCCCACCGTATCCCCCACTATGGGCAGCAGTAGCTGGTGTGTGTGTTTTAACGAGGCCCGCGTAGAGGAGCATTTGAGTTGATCCCAGGATTACAACCCGTGCCTCGGACAATGTCCCTGTGCACCTGACTGCACACTGCTTTCTGAGTACCTCTCACTGCATGCGGGGAAGGTGGCATCTGCCCGTGGGCACACAGCAGGCTTGTGCTGGATGTGGCAGACACAGGCCCCTGGGACTACAGACCTAACACTACCTGATGCCCACGTGATACATCCTTAAAAATGCTTAAAGTTTGCATCCAGCTTGGGCTGGACTGGACTTTTGTTCACTTTAGACGGGCATTTAACCTAGCGGTTCAGATTGCCCGCATCAGAGCGTGCAGGTTCAATTCCCAGCTCCACTCCCGACTCCAGCTTCCCGCTAATGGAAGGCAGCAGCGGTGATGGCTCAAGTAATCAGGTTCCTGCTACCCAGGAGAGAGATCTGGAATGTGCTCTGGCCCTGGCCCAGCTCCAGCCTTTGCAGGCATTTGGGGAATGAACCAGCGAACAGGAGCTTGCTCTTGCATGCTCTCTCTCTATCTCCCAAACAAGTTTAAAAAAAAAAAAAATTAAGTGGCCCAGAAGAAGTTGTCCATGCAGAGTGTGATAAAGGAGAGCCACTAAATAACCCTCCCTGACTGGTGAACTGCCACGTGCACTCATGCAGGGGACAAAGTAGCCCTGGACCACCCTCCCCCCCATTTACACAGCACACCAGCAGCCATGACCTCATTTTAACCCATATTCTCTTTTCCATGGCAGAATGAGGAAACTGAAGAGCAGAACGATGACTTGTCCCAAATCACACAACTGGCAGTGCAGGAGGCAGAACCAGGAATGCCTGTTCTTGGAAAACAAACAGCTGTTACAGCCACACAACGACGGGACGGACCGCGGCAACAGCACTTCCATCACCATGTGAACACCACACGCACTGACAAACTGACGGACCAGTGTGCCATCATTGGCCAGATCTCACCGTGCGCCCAGGAGCCTAATACTAACGAGAAAGCATGACGGAAAACATGGAAACTGGACTTCTTACCACAAAAACAAATACCATCGCAGAAAGCATGAGAAAACTTGGAACCAAAAAAAAAAAAAAAAAAAAAAAAAAAACCCTAAAAGACAAAATCTTGCTGGGTGACCATGGGCACAGCATTGCATCTCTCTGAACCTTGGTTATCTCATTTTTATTTTTTATTTTTAAATTTATTTATTTATTTGGAAGGCAGAGAGTTACAGAGAGACAGAGGCAGAGAGAGAGAGAGATGTCTTCCATCCACTGGCTCACTCCCCAAATGGCCACAACAATTAGAGCTTGGCCAATCCAAAGCCAAGAGCCAGACTTCTTTCAGGTCTCACATAGGGTGCAGGGGTCAAAGGACTTGGACCATTCTCTACTGCCTTCCCAGGCCATATCAGAAAACTGGATTGGAAGAGGAGCAGCTGGGACTTGAACCAGCGCACACATGGGATTCTGGTACTACAAGTGGTGTTTTTACCTACTACGCCACAGTGCCAGTCCCAGGTATCTCATTTTTAAAAAAAAGGTACCAATAATAACCACCACAGTAACAGTCACTAACACACACTGAACACCATCCTAATCCATTGCAGTCAAGCTGCCCCTTGCGGGCTCACACTCAAACATACATATTTAAAGATGTAATTTTTTTTATTTATTATAAAGGCAGAGTTTCAGAGAGTGGGAGAGGGAGACAGAGATCTCCCATCCCCTGGTTCACTCCCCAAATGGCCACCACAGCTAGGGCTGGGCCAGGCCAAAGCCAGTAGCCTGGAACCCTATCCAGGTCTCCAACATGGGAGCAGGGGCCCAGGCACTTGGGCCATCTTCTGCTGCTTTCCCACAGACATTAGCTGGACTGGAAGTGGAACAACCAGGACTGGAGCTGATGCCTATATGGGATGACAGCATTGAAAGTGGCGGCTTTACCTGCTGTGCCACTATGCCAGCCCCGAACATACATATTTAGTGGGCTAGAAACAAAGGAGACACACGATATTGTTTCAAGCTTTTTACCCAGTATGATCACAAAACATTGTTCTAACTCCTGTCCCTGCTGCTTCAAGCCCACCGAAGTTTCAAGGTTCTGCCTGAAGCCGATAGAAACATCTGGTTTCAAAGAGATTCCCCACAAGTCAGAGATTGTCCAAGGCCTTTACACCCTGAGTCCCTGTCCTCCCCAGGCTGTGCCACTCCCATACCTGCCCCCTGGGGCCCTGGGCCCTGGCCTCTGTGGGGACCTTGGGCATGGCCCAGGCTCTAGGTGACATCTCACTTAGGGCAGCCCCAGCACAGGCTCAGAGATGCCTGTAGGGAAAAGGTTTTCCCTTGGTGTCTCCCTGACCCTTCCTGGGAACACAAATGCTCCCTACCTCAGCAAGCTCTTGTCACATCTCCCCGAAAAATCCTATCTTCTATTCTCCCTGCCTGCCATACAAACTTCTGTGGACCACAATCCCCTGGGAATCTCTCTAGGAAGCAGAGCCTTGGGTCAGTCATGTTACCTGCCTGCTCCCCCCCCACCCCCCACCCCCGGTTTTCAGCCTTTAAATGGAAGTTTTTAAAATCCAGTACTCAGCAGGAGTGCTCTGAAATCCCGTGTAAAAGCAGGGGATACTTTAAAACCTCAGCAGCGCCCCGCGCACCCGACCACTTTTGAGAATTTCCAAATCCCCACCCCACCCCCGCCCGCCCAGTCCCCAAAAGTAAAGTGTTTCACGGCTTTTCTCATCCACAGAGGTGGGGCTCGTGCCATTCTGCCCACCGGGACCCCTCCATCAACCCCCACCTACAACCAAGCTCGCCCTGCCCAGGTGAGCTCACGCTCCGGACCCCGAGCCCGCCCTCTCCGGTTCCCGCGGACCCTCCTCCAGTCTTCTGAACTCCCCACAGCCACCCCTCACCAGACTCGAGCGCGCCCACCACCCCACTCCCAGTCTGCCGCCTGTCGCCGGCGCACGCGCGCAGCGAGCTCTTTGGGAGCGACCCCAGCGCACACCTGGGCGCGCAGGCGGTGCCGGGGGACCGCGGGGCCCGGCGAGGGGAGCCTGCTCCCGCTCCGCGCCGCCCCCCGGGCCCCGCAGGTGGTGGCCCGGGGTGGGGAGGGCGCCGGCGGGGCGGGGCGGGGCCCGCGGGAGGCGGGGGCCTGGCGGCCGAGCGGGGCGGCGGAGCTGCGAGGGACAGCGGCGCGGGAGACGCACGGAGCCAGCCGCAGCCCAGCCCGCGCCCGCCGCCATGCCCCTGGCCTTCTGCGGCAGCGAGAACCATTCGGCCGCCTACCGGGTGGACCAGGGCGTCCTCAACAACGGCTGCTTCGTGGACGCGCTCAATGTGGTGCCGCACGTCTTCCTGCTCTTCATCACCTTCCCCATCCTCTTCATCGGTGAGCGCGCTGCGGGCCGCGGGGGCAGGGCGGGGGAGGAGGCGCTGCGCGCCGCACGGCTCCGCGGCCTTTCCGGCCCCGCCACCGCCGCTCGCCGCCCTCCCGGGTCCCCTTGTCCCGCGGTCTGCCCGCCGGACCCCGCACTAGCACACGCGTTCATCTCTTCACTCCCATGGGGTGCCCCCGCACGCTTGCCAACCCCAGCGGACCTTCTTGACCCAGGGGATCTCCAAGTTGTGCCTCCTCACGGGCACGGCAGGGATGGAGAAAGAGAGCGGAGGTCCCTGCACGCGTTAGGGGGTCGGGAGGGAGTCGCGCCGGACCCTCAGTGGAGCAGGGAGAAGGAAGCGGGTCACCCCTCCCCCAGGGCACCCTCCCTGTCAGCCGCAGCCGAGCTCAGCCTGTGCTCGGGGGCTGGGGTGGAGGCTATTTGGACCCCTGCGCTTCCTCGGAGCCGGGCGGACTGTGGTCCGTAGCCTGACAATCCCGGGGCCCCGCGCACCCCGGGCCTGGAGAAGCGGTCCTGAAACCCGGCCCGTTACCCAGCTTGGGCTCGAGTTTCTGGAGCGCAGTAACTTAGCTCTACGCGAGGCGGCTCTGACTTGCGACGCAGCGACCCTGGTGGGGCCCCAGCACTCCTACTTGAAAGTGTTCTGCAAAGTTGGGTGCGTCTCTCCGCTCGGATCCCCCTCACCTCTCTCCAGACCTGTCTCTCCCGGCCAGTCAGCTCAACCCACTTACAGGGTGCCCTCTGCTCCCCAAAACGTGTTCATTCACTTTAAGACAAGAAGCGGATTCAGGGGCGGACAAGGCGCAGCGTGGGAAGCCTATATCCCCTCAACCCAACCTTGGGTTCCAGTCCTGGCTCCACTCCCAGTTCCAGCTTCCTGCTAATGTGCACCTTCAACACAGCGGTGGATAGCTCAAGTATCTGGGGTCGCTGCCAGGAACATGGGAGACCTGATTTCATTCCCTGCTCTTGGCCCAAGCCTAGCCCAGCCATGGCTGTTGCAGGCATTTGGGGAGTAAAGCAGTGAATGAGAACATCTCCCTCTCCCCTGGAAATAAATCAAATAAATAACAGATTTAAGGAGCAAATCATAAATGCCAAGATTTGGGGAGGAAAACAAATATGGGTGCCCAAGTAAATGCCCAAGAAGTTGCTGCAGAATTTGAGTTACTGGTTATTGCCCAAGGGAACATTTGCAACGATGTTCATATGTGTATCAACAATAGGAAAACAGAGTGATGTTCACACTTCTGTCTTCAACCAATTTCCCCATGGCTTGTCACATAAGCTGTCAGCACACAAAACAGGGGACGCATGGAAACAGCTTGAGTGTGTCCCAGCTGTACACCCTGTGTGCCAGCTTTGGGGATTCTCAAGCACAGGTGTGCAGGAGTACACTCTCCTTACCCACCTGCCAGGTGGGCCAGACGTCCTACCTCTTCCCGTTTCTCCCCTGCAGGATGGGGCAGCCAGAGCTCCAAGGTGCACATCCACCATAGCACGTGGCTGCACTTCCCCGGGCACAACCTGCGCTGGATCCTGACCTTCATGTTGCTCTTTGTGCTGGTGTGTGAGATCGCGGAGGGAGTCCTGTCTGACGGGTGAGTGACTCTGCGGACCAGGCAGTGCGGCCCTGCTCCACGGTGCCCCCCGAGAGGCCCAGGAGGCTCCATCGCACCTGCATTCTGCGAGCTCAATCGTTCACTAATAAACCCAGCAGCTCTGCCCGGTGTCATCAGTGTGCCAGGCTCTCTGAACCAGGCACTGCCTGCAAGGGAGACCCAGTCCCTGCTCTAGGACCAGGAGGGTGGAGGGAACGTGGGCCTGTGTGTCGAGACCCAATGAAATGCTAGAGCCTATGAGAACCCCCCCCCCCCAACTCTCCATGTCACTCACTCTTGCTCAAGGCCTTTCCTTGGCTCTCGTTTGTTTACAAGACGCAGTTCCAAGTCCCTGGGCATCCAGGGCTCTGCCATCAGCCCCACCTGCCTGTTGCCTCCTTCCCAAAGCCTCTCCCTGCCCACCCACCTTTCCTCTGAGCCTCTCAACATGTTCCCTCCACCCCTACTGCCACCACACACACACACACACACACACACACCTCTGCTGTAGCACAGAGCCTCCTGTACATTATCTGTGCAACTGTCTCCTGAGTCAGCAAGGCCTCGGAGTTAGAATGCAGGAGTTGTTCATTCTTGTCTTCATGGCGCAAGGCACGTGATGAATATCTGCAAGCGTTAATGGAATCCCTAGAAGAATAAGTCAGATGAGGAGGAGGGGAGGGGAAGGCTGCTGGGGCCAGCTCTCTGGCTGAGGGGGCTTTGGAGCTGGGCCTGGAAGGACAAGGAGGGTTCTGGTGGGCAGAGGGGTTGACAAGCAGGAGGGAAGGGACCCAGAGGAGGAACAAAGGCGCCAGGTAGGGCTGGGGAGCAATGCGGCTGGGCCAAAACATTAAATGCATTAGGTTGGGGAGAGGGGGACGGATAGGGGCTGAGACTTGGGAACCAGGCTGGGTCCTCTCGTGGAGGGCTTCGAACCCCAGGCTGCATGTCCGGTTGGATTTGGTCAGCACTTTGAAACAGAGAGAGAGATGACATCAGTGCAGCATGTTAGGTAAGAACATGACAGGCTTTCTAAGGCGGGTGGGAGGCAGAGCAGAAGCAGCACTTGGCAGGTGAATTTGGTGGTCTGGATGAGAGCTACCTGCAGCTGGGACTGGCGTGTCAGCACATCAGAGCAGAGGGGAGAGGGAGCAGCCCCCTCCGGAAGGGAACACCACACCGGCAAGTCCCTGTGACTGTCTCTGTGAGGGGTGGTGCAGAGGAGGACGTTTGGCTTGGGTGTCTGCGGTCTGGTCCCTCTGAGCTGGAGTCTGACGGAGCCCAGATCCTCCCTGTGCCAGTGCAGGCTGGCTCCTCCAGCTGGTGTGTTGGGAGCTGGCATCCTCACACCCCTCACCCTGCCACCCCTCCATGTCCCTGCATCCCAGCTTTGGCAGTGATCTCTGTGGCGCCTGCTTGCTCTGGGGCAGCAGCAGCTCCTCAAAGTCCCTTAGACCAGCAGGAAGGCCAGAGGGCGCGTGCCATCTCTCTAGCTAGCAGTGATGAGGCTGCCTCACTCCCTCTGTAGCTAGCAGTGATGAGGCTGCCTCATCCCTACCCCCAACACTCCCTCCAAAGCAACACGAATGCTACAGAGGGTAGGGGTGCCTGGTGAGCCCTCCCCCCAGGAGCACTCACAGACTGTGATTGGCTGGGGTGGCAGAGGGAAACGCCCAGCTCTTGGAGAAGGAAGGGTCCTTTGCAAGCACTCCTGCTTTGCCCCAGCTGTGGGACTTAGGACAAGTCAGCAGCCTCTCTGGGCCCTGCTCTCGCTACCTGTGAAACAAGTCCCATAGTCGCTGGCTCATCCTTCTCACAAGGCCATGAGGGATGATGCTGGAGAATGAACAGCGTGCAGAACTCTGGGTGGCAGTACCTGGATAGATGATATAGTTCAGAAAGTGGGGAACAGGAGGGGATCAGCCTGAGGAGTGCACCTGCTGGCTGCCAGCCACCCCTCCTTTGTACCTGTGTCCCCACACTCTCCAGCTCAGTGCAGAAGGTCATCTCCCCAGGGCATGGGCCAGCTCCTGAGCTGGGCATTGTCACCAGGTCTTTGTGAGCCCAGACCCTTAGGCAGGCAACTGTGAAGGAGGGGCATGGGAAAGGGGCAGACCCTGCCTTGTGGTGCCCCTGTCCGTCCCAGCCTGGGTTTTCATACCTGAGTGGAAGTTCAAGGGGCAGGTGTGAGCAGGACTGGCTAAGACAGTGGTCTTCAGACTTGAGTGAGGTTTAGGGTGAGCCACAGCAGGTGGCCTTTGGGTATTATTATTTTTGTGTGTGATGATTTGGACTCAACTAAAGACATACAGGTTAGTATGGCAGATTTTTTTTTGACAGGCAGAGCTAGATAGTGAGAGAGACAGAGGGAAAGGTCTTCCTTCTGGGGTTCACTCCCCAAAATGGCCACTACAGCTGGTGCACTGTGGCCGGTGCGCTGCGCCGATCCGAAGACAGGAACCAGGTGCTTCTCCTAGTCTCCCATGCGGGTGCAGGGCCCAAGTACTTGGGCCATCCTCCACTGCCTTCCCGGGCCATTGCAGAGAGCTGGACTGGAAGAGGAGCAACCCGGACAGAATCCGGTGCCCTGACCGGGACTAGAACCCGGGGTCCGGCGCCACAGGTGGAGGATTAGCCTAGTGAGCCATGGCACCCGCCAGTAAGGCAGATTTAAAGTTTTATATGTATATGCAGGAAATAAGACAGAGATCTTCCATGGGCCAGTTCACTCCCCAAATGCCTGCAGCAGCCAGGGCTAGGCCAGGCTGAAGCCCGTTGCTCAAAATTAAGTCCAGGTCTTCTGCATGTGTGGCAGGGACCTGAGTACTTGAGTCACCATCTGCTGCCTCCCAGGGTGCCTAATAGCAGGAAGCTGGATCAGAAGCGGAGCAGCTGGGACTCAGACCGGACACCACAGTGCACGATGTGAGCATCCCGAGCAGCAACTCCACCAGTGCACAGAACGCCCGCCCCTAAGTCCTTACATAATTCAGTGTCTGTTATCCAGTAAAGCAGCTAATATCTATTTTAATAAGTCATACCTGAAATATTTATTCCAACTATAGTGAATCCTCATCTTAGGTCATCTTTTAAAATTTTTAACGTTTCTATTTCCTATTGCAAAAAAAAGGGCTTTATTTGAATGTATAATGTAACATTTTAGATGTCATCTTAAAAATGTGTGAGAGTGGCTGGTGCCGCAGCTCACTAGGCTAATCCTCTGCCTTGCGGCGCTGGCACACCGGGTTCTAGTCCCGGTCGGGGCGCCGGATTCTGTCCCGGTTGCTCCTCTTCCAGTCCAGCTCTCTGCTGTGGCCTGGGAGTGCTATGGAGGATGGCCCAAGTGCCTGGGCCCTGCACCCGCATGGGAGACCAGGAGGAAGAACCTGGCTCCTGGCTTCGGATCAGCGCGGTGCGCCAGCCGCAGCGCGCCGGCTGCAGCGGCCATTGGGGGGTGAACCAACGGAAAAGGAAGACCTTTCTCTCTGTCTCTCTCTCTCTCACTGTCCATTCTGCCTGTCCAAAAAATAAAAAAGTGTGAAAGTATGGAATTCTTCAAAATTATCTGAAGTCGTACAGATATTAAGAGTTGGAATTTATTTCATTTGTTTACAATTTTTTAGTTTACTGAGGCTCGGTGGGGGAGAAGAGAGGCAGTTGAGAGCATGCCCCCAAATGCCTGCAGCATCAGGGATTGGGACAGGCTGGAGCCAGGCTGGAAACTCAATCCAGGCCTCTGACGAAAGCAGCAGGAATCCAATTACTTGAACCAGCACTACTGCCTCCCAGGGTGCACGTTAGCCAGAAGCTGGAGTCAGGAGTGGCACCTGGGGATGGAACCAGGCCCCACAGTTTGCCCTGTGTCGTAGCCACCAGGTTAAACATCCACCTGAGACTCGTGGCTCTTTTATCAAGGAATAAAGAGGAGGCTGCGCTTTGGTGAACAGCTCCCCCTGCCTTGACTCTGGACAAGAGACCGCACCTCACTCCCTCCTCCCTAGTTGAGCCCAACTCCCTTGCCCTCAGAGTCCAGGCTGGTGCTCCCTCTTCTGTGAAGCTTTGCTGGGTTGTCCAGCCAGGCTTGGTGCTCCCTGTACCTTCTTCCCATCTGCAGCGTCACTTCCCTGGGCCACTGAGTCAGACGGTCAGCCCTGGGCATGGCGGCCCCTCCCTACTGCCAGCTTCGCAAGGGCCGCAGCAAGGCAGGAGGCTGGAGCAGGCCTGCTGGGAAGAGACAGGGTCCCGACGTGGCTGGAGCAGAAAGGGCAGGCAGTGTCGTACTGCAGAAATGACCCGGCTTCAGTGCCAGGCTGAGTTACGTCTGCAGAAGGGAGCCATGGTAGGGCACGATGGGGGCCCACAGGGTGACCCTCCTTGCCAGCCCTGGGGAAACCTGGCTCCCCACAGCTCTACCGCAACACCCAAGCGCTCCCAGCACAGCAGGAGGCCATGGGCTGGTATCGATTGTCCCTGCCCCTCATCCCAAGGGAGAAGATGGCAGCAGTGACCTTGACCATGTTCCTTAGCCATGAAATGGAGAGACTACGAGTACCCACCTCTGGGGCTAATGCAGACATGAATGAGTTCCTGGACATCACATGCTTAGAACAGCGCCTGGCACAGGACAGAGGCTCCACAAATACTGACTCTGGCCACTGTGGTTCCGACAGCACCTGGGGAGAGCTGCTGATGCTGACGGATGCTGTGCGTGTTACATGGGGCTCTCGCTGAGTGATGTGTGATGGGCAGGCTCCTGTACTGCCTGAGGGATCCCAGGCACGGGGGCCTGGCTCTGTTCCCTTCCCAAAAAGAGGTTCCAGCTTTGCAGCTGCTACTGTCGAAGCTGACTCCCTGTGCAGGGTTCTGCAAGCCGGAGCCCCGGGAGAGAGTTCCAAGCCTGAACAGAGAGTCCTTGGGGTACCTCTGTCTGGACTCCCCGGCCCCTTAGTTAAGAGGTGCGCTTCGGGGCTGGGCTGGGCAGAGCTGTTAGTAGCTGGGGTGGCGCTGTGGATTTGCTCTGGAGGACCTACTGTGTGCTGGGTCCTAGGGACAAGGCCTGTGCCGCTCTGTTGGGGTATTTGGCACATTCACATTCTCTCTGTCTCTCTCCCTGCTGCTCCCCATCTCAGGGTGACCGAATCCCGCCATCTCCACCTGTACATGCCGGCAGGGATGGCGTTCATGGCTGCCGTCACCTCCGTGGTCTACTATCACAACATCGAGACCTCCAACTTCCCCAAGCTGCTGATAGGTAGGCCGGGGGTGCAGCGGAGGGGAGAGGGGGCACCTTCGTTCATTCTTGAGACCGCGCATTACTGAACACTTGCTGTGTGCAGGCACTGTTCTAGGGGCTAGAGATTCAGAAGTCCCTGCCTCTGAGGAGCTTACCGTTGGGTGGTGCAGCAGACACATAGGCGGTGGAGGCGATGCTCAGAAGAAAACCAAGCTGGGCGAAGGCGAGGAGAGCGAGGGCGATGCTGCTGCCTATGTAGGAGGGGAGGGAGGGCCCCTGACAAAACGGGGCCACAGAGACGTGGGGGCAAGGAGTCTTCCATGCAGCAGCAATAGACATGCAGAGGCCTTGCCTTAGGGGCAAACTGGGAAGAGAGGCCAATGTGGCTGAGGCCAGGTGAACAAGGGCAGAGTGGCAGGGGGTGAGAAGAGCAAGGGACACCCCAGGCTTGGAGCCCTGAGCACCTGCGTGAACTGTGGTGCTAACACCCGACATGGCGAGGAGCAGACGTTGGGGGTGGGAATGGGCTGTTTGGGTCGTGTGGAGTTTGAGGCGGTGCCAAGATGGCCAACTCAAGTGTCAGGTGGGCACTTAGATGGAGTTGGGCACTCGTGGGGAGGCCAGGACAGGGGATAAACACCTGAGCAGGCATGGACTTGCAGGCGGCATAAAGCCTATGGAAAATACAAATGATGAAATAATTAGGCAGACATGTCACCCAAAACTTTGCACCCAAATAAACCAATCTTAATTATATTTTTTCATGAACTTTTTGGTAAAGATTTATTTTATTTTATTTGAATGGTAGAAGGGAGAGACAGAAGGAGAAAGAGAAAGAGAGAGAGATCCTCTCCAACTCTTGGTTCACCCCCCAGATGGCCACAATGGCCAGAGCTTGGCCAGGCCAAAGCCATGGAGCTTGGAACTCCATCCGGGTCTCCCATGTGGGTGGCAAGGACCCAAGCCCTTGGGCCATCTTCCGCTGCTTTCTCAGGTCCATTAGCAGGGAGCTGAACTGAAGGCAGAGCAGCCAGGACTTGAACTGGTGGTCACATGGGACGCCAGCATAGCAGAAGGTGGCCTAACCCACTGCACCCCAACACCATCCCCTCTGTGAAGCTCTTTGAAGTCCCCTCATAAAGCTGGAGCTTGGACAAGGTCATCTGGAGAGAGGGGAGCAAGGCCAGGACCACAGCCAGAGGTTTGCCTGCATCTAGAGAAGCTCCGGAAGAAGTGTCCGCCTGGAGCCCCTGTGGTGGGGGTCGCAGGGCACAAGCGACAGTGCCACCTGCTGTGGCCAGGCGTGGTGCTAAGCTCTTCACACGACCTAATGAAGCCCCACAGCCACACCACTGTGCTGTTTGTACCCTGGCGTGCAACGTGGGCCTGGAACTCAGAGAGGTTGAAGGGACTCCCACTCATGACATTTGTGAGCGCTTATCACAGGCCGGGCTTTGTACGGAGCATTTGATAGGTATCAGCTTATCTGAGCCTACACACCCACCCTCTAAGGTGGATGCCTGTGCTAGCTCCGTTCTACAGATCAAGAAACTGAGGCTCAGGGTCAGGGACGGGTATTTGTCCACCCAGCTCAGCTGATCCAGGGCAGAGCCCGGAGTCTCCTGACCGAGGCTGCGTGTCTGGGGATCCTCAGAGCGTGTCCTTGGGGCAAAGGTGTCAACCTGCAGGACTGCCTGTGTTTGGGCTCCACATGCACGGGGAAGCCAGGCTGTATCCTTGGCAGTTGGCTGTGTAACAGCTAACTGACATCCAGGGCTTGGAAGACTCTGTGAGGAGCCAGCGCTGCTGCAAGAGCACTTTGGGTATAAGGTGCAGGCTGTGCCCCATCAGGGTCATTTGGTGAGCCCCACCATGGGCCTCCATGTGAGTGGGGGTAGGGACGAGGGCACGGCAGGTGCTAACTACTCCATCCCCAGAGAAGCCCTCCTGGTGCCCTCCGGACGCTCCTGGCAACAGCTAGTGACTTAATTTTCCCACCCTCCTGTTTCTCTCTTTAGAATGTGAATTGTCACCCACTGAGGCATTAGTTGGAGTTTTGTTCCCTGAAGAGAAGGGTCCACAGAGCCAGAAAGTCTGGGACAGAGAAAAGTGTGGGGCACTGCACCCTGTGAGCTATAGGCATGGAGGGCATGGCCACTGGGGACAGAGCCAGACCTCTGAGGGGGCTGATGGCACAGATCTGGTGTCCCACAGAAAGGCGAGCTACAGTGTAGCGTATATGGCCCCGGGAAAGAACCTGGGAGAAGTCCAGGAAGTGTTCCATCGGGAAGTCATGGTTGGGCTGAGAACTGAAGGTTAGATGGGGACTGACTGGAGGAAAGGAGAGAGGAGTGCTTCAGGCAGTGGGAGCAGCAGGTGCAAAGGCCCTGGGGCAGGAACAACAAAGCACATTAGGAAATCTGGAAGAAGACTGAGGTGTTGAGAGCAGAGGGGAAGCTGGCAGGAGCCTGAAGGCAGGAGCTGCAGGGAGGCCGATACCAGGCAGGACCTCAAAGGCCACACCACATTCATTGGTCTTCAGTCCACAAGCAATGGGAGCCCAGGGAGAGTTGTTTGGCTTGGGGGCTTTTTGGGATGTGTGTGTGTGTGTGTGTGTGTGTGTGTGGTAGCATATACATCACACACAATCTACCATTCTGAGCATTCTCAAGCATGCTGTTCACTGACATTAAACACAGACACGTTATCTTGCCACCATCTCCGCCCCGTCTCCAGAACTTTCTCATCTCCCCAAACTGAGTCTCCACTTCTTAATCCCCATTCCTGCCTCTCCCCGGCCCCCAGCAGCCACCCCTCTACTCCCTGCCTCTGTAAATTCCGCGACTCCAGGTGTTTATCAGAGCAGGAGCAGGCACTGTCTGTCCTTTGGCGGCTGGCTTCTCCCGTCTCACAGAACACCCTCAGAGCTCACCCACGCTGTAGCGTGTGCTGACATGCCTTTCCTTTTGTCGGCTGGGTGACTGCTGTCGTGTGGCTTGGCCACGCTTTCTTCCCCCGTGCATCGGGCAGTGGACAGTCGGGCTGCTTCCACCTCTGGACTGTTGTGCACGGTGCTGCTGGGAACGCGGGTGCAGCGAGCGAGTTTGTGGCTGTGTGGAGGGCATGGGCCGGAGGGAGTCACGGAGAAGGATCTCTGGTGGTGCAAGGCTCTGACGTGCAGCTGAGCTGGAGGGAGTGGGTGGGCTCAAGATACAGAACACCGGATGTAGGGGGCGCTGCGCAGGGGGAGAGGCGGCGTCCTGGGGGTTCTGAGCTCGGCCCTCCCTGCAGCCCCTGTTCTGTTCCTTGCTCTGTTTCCCATCCCCCCCCCCCTCAATCAAGCACTCTGCTCTTGTGGGGTGCTGCTGTGTCTGGGGAGCCTGTGGAACCAGCCCCTGATGGCCGACTCCCTGTGTGACCCTGCACAAGACAGCGGCCCCGTGAGCCTCCGCTTCCCGATCCGGGTGGGAATAGCAACTTCTGCCCAGGTCATCATGGGCTTGTTGTGAAGATCCGCTCAAGGTGTATCTATCAAGTGGCGCGGGCAAGGCCTGCACAAGGCGTGATGGCAGGTCTCGGCCCCGGCGGGCGGCCTCACCAAGGGTCACAGAGGCTCTGGTGCCTGGGCTCCGATTTCCCCGGGAGAGTGCTTGCACAGAGACCCAGCTGGGGGATGTCACCCTAGTCCCGAGGCTGGGGCCAGAAAGCAGGCCCTGTGCCTGCACCTGGAGTGGACGGCACCAGCCCCCCAAGCTCCCTGGTGCTCCTCCCTGGCTGCATGGTGGGGCCCAACCTCCGACCTGCTTCCCAGCCCCGAGCCAGGCTGGTGGGCCCCAGCTTTTGTCTCCAGGAGGTAGCCTGGCGTCCTGAACAGGCCCGCCTCGGGGTGTGGGGCAGGATGGAGGTGCTCAGGGGTTCTGAGGCCGACCCTAGCTGCCCACAGCTCTCAGCATGAGGAGGGGCGGGGCAGGCAGTGCTGTGGCTCCCCCTATAGAGTGGCTTAGCTCATTATTACCAGTTTGTTGTGGCAAACTGACAGTGGTTTAAAAGGGGGGGGGGGCTGAGTTAGGAGAAGGTGGGACTTCAGGATAGAATCTGCTTCTAATGTTTACTGCTCCATCTGACATGTGGAGATAAAAATAGTAACAGGTGATATCCAGAGAGCACCCACCGTGTTCCTGGCCCCCTGGACTAAGTGCTTTCCATACGTGCTCACTGCAACCTTCCCGCCTTGCTTTCATGATCCCCATTTAACGGAAGAGGAAACTGAGGCCCAGCTGGGTGAGATGCCTCCTCCAAGATCACACAGCCACTGCGTGACAGGATCTGAGCCCAGGTGTATCTGGCTGCAGGTACACCGAACCGCTAACCACCATCCTTACACTGCCTCACAGGGCAGTGGCTCACTTTTTCCATATCCCCTGAAGAGCACTGTGTTGCCGGGATGGGCTCTGGGCTGTGGGGACAGGGATCTGCAGGCTCGCTATGTCGGGAGCTGGCCGGCCGAGAGCTTGGACAGGTTGCCCCTGTCTCCGGGCCTCCATCTCCTCCTGTGTGAAGTGAGGCTGGCAGCGGGGCCTCTGAGGAGGTCACTTGAGCACAGAGCTCACTGCGGGGGCCCCGGCATGGGGCTCACCCAGCGCCGCCGCTCTGGCTTCTTGATCTCACCCTCCTGAGCCTCAGCCTGGGATGGATGGGCGCCGGCGGCAGGCAGCCCCTCCGTCAGGAGGCTGTTGTACGAGTCCCTGAGCGAACGTGTTTAAAGTGCTTCCCTGGCACAGCGCCCGTGACTCAGTTGAATCCAAGAGATAATTTTCCTATTTTTCTCCTTAATATTTATTGTTGAGGAAGATTGATCTGAGCGATTGCTCTGACTTACGAGTTGGCTGCGTGTTTGTCTTGGAACCTGCCTGTCCTGAACACAGCCCAGGACCGTATTCCCATAGAAGTTTATTTGCAAAATAGATGCTGAGCAGCATTTGGCTTAGGGCCACAGTCTGCTCACTCCTATCTTTTCTACGAAGGAGAAATCGCCGTCAGGTCACCTGCAACGCAGGTGGGGAGTTTTTATGTGTGTGTTTTTTATTAGATTTATTTTTCTTTATTTGAACGAAAGAATTACATAAAGAGGTAGAGAGAGAGAAGTCCTCCTTCTGCTGGTTCACTCCCCAAATGGCCACAACGGCCAGAGCCGAGCTGATCTGAAGTAAGGAACCAGGAGCTCCCACGCGGGTGCAGGGGCCCAAGGACTTGGGCCATCTTCTACTGCTTTCCCAGGCCATAGCAGAGAGCTGGATTGGAAGTAGAGCAGCCAGGACTAGAACCAGCACCCCTATGGGATGCTGGCTCTTCAGATCGGGGCTTTAACCTGCTGTGCCACAGTGCCGGCCCCAAGTGGGGAGTTTTGGTGTGTGTGCCTCAGCCCAAAAGGATGTTTTGTGATAGCCACAGTGCACACACTCACACCAGCCTCCCTGACACACTCCCACGGGAGCACACGCCCATGTGAGCCTTCGCACACGCCCCTGTGCCCTGTCCCCCCCCCACACTCACACGCACAGGAGCACACGCCCACGTGAGCCTGCACACACGCCCCTGTGCCCTGCCCCCCCCCCACTCACACGCACAGGAGCACACGCCCACGTGAGCCTGCACACACGCCCCTGTGCCCCGTCTCCCTCGGCAGCCCTGCTCATCTACTGGACCCTGGCCTTCATCACCAAGACCATCAAGTTCGTCAAGTTCCACGAGCACGCCATCGGCTTCTCGCAGCTGCGCTTCTGCCTCACCGGGCTGCTGGTCGTCCTCTACGGCATGCTGCTCCTCGTGGAGGTCAACGTCATCAGGGTGAGGGTAAGCCGCCCCCACCGCCCCCGGCTCTGCCTGCTCCCGCGGGGAAGTTGAGGCTGGTGGGAGCAGTCTCGGGAGAGAGGTTCCGCCCGGCCCAGCTGCCTCTGCTCTGCCTCCCAGAGGGACAGGAGGGGATAGGATGGACGTGTGAGCCGAGCCGGAAGGGTGGGTTTACTCCCAGGGCGAGGCGGCAAATGCTTCAGGGCCTGACTTCTCCCTGTCTCGGTCTGGGGGTGAGGACTTTGCAGCTGGATGCACGCACACAGCCCCGCGCCCCAGGAAGGAGTGAATGTGACTGCACGCGACGCCCGCTGTTTCGCTTTCCTCTCGGTTGGCCCCCTTCCCTCTCTTTTCCACCTCAGTCTGAGTCTTCCCCCTCCCCTGCCCTCGCTGCCCCCACTCCAGGTAACCTAGATGGACAACCTCATTTATCTCTCCCTACTTGGCTTTTGAGAATGTCCCACAGACACCCCTATCTAAACACATAGCTCCGTGGGTACCTTTTCTCAACACATGTGATGGTACAGGGTCCCCGTCTCAGCATGTGTTCCATCTAAGGGGGATTGTGTCATACACTGGTTTTGCATCATGCCTGGCTCACCCAGCCATATCCCTTACTGCTCCCTCCAAGCCACGTGGCGTGGCCAGCTCAGTCTTCTTAGCGGCCATGCAGTATTCCATTGCGCAGATGAGCCCTAAGTGATGCAGCCCTCAGCTTATGGATGGCCATTCCTTTGTGGCCGAGTTCTTGCTTCACAGATAATGGTGTCTTGAATGTGCCTGCAGCTTTATGCATGGCTGCTTTTGTTTCTAGGAGAGAGAGTGAGGCCAGGAAGTGGCGCTGTCACGTCAGAGCGTCTGGGTGTTTGATGTGCTCATCAGTGTTGCAGCTCGCCATCCTGGGGGACTGCATTCCACCTCAGAGCCTTTCCCTGCCTTCCGGCCGGCAGTGCAAGGTTATCATACATGATAGTCCTTCCCAGCATGGGCCAGCTACACTGGATCTTAGCCAAAAGGCCAGGAAGCGAAGCGACATCTGACCGCTGCTCTCATTTGCATTCCTCTGGCTCCCGTAAGGTGCCAGCCCCTTGCGCTGCCTCCCTCGCCTCCCTCGGCTGACCATCACGCAGCCCTGTGCCAGCCCTGTGCCAGCCCTCCTCCTCCTGAGGAGGCAGCATTTTAGATGAGGCTTTGTCCTGAAACGTCTTGCTTGCACGGGCAGGAGGCAGGATTTCAACCCCGGTCCGTGTGATGTCAACTCATGAGGGAGGCGTGAGGCTGTCCTTGGATCTGGGGGGCATCCCTGCTGTTCGAGGGGTTCAGAGGAGACCCCAGCGAATGGTCACAAAGGAGGCCCTGGCACTGGTGGTTGGGAGGTGCTGGGGATCCTTTTCCTGGGAGTACTTGTAGGCAAGACATGGCCCATCTGCTGGGGGCACGGATGGGCCGTCATGACCCCAGGTCCTGCTGGGGGGCAGGGTGGCCAGTGGTGAGGAGTTGCAGGGACCCATGTGCGGCCCGTGTGTCCCTGCCCCCTGCCCTCCCAGAGATACATATTCTTCAAGACGCCGCGGGAGGTGAAGCCCCCCGAGGACCTGCAGGACCTGGGCGTGCGCTTCCTGCAGCCCTTTGTGAACCTGCTGTCCAAGGGCACCTACTGGTGGATGAACGCCTTCATCAAGACTGCCCACAAGAAGCCCATCGACCTGCGGGCCATCGGGAAGCTGCCCATTGCCATGCGGGCCCTCACCAACTACCGGCGGCTCTGCGAAGCCTTCGACGCCCAGGCGGTCAGTGGGGTCAAGGCGCGGCACCCATTGCCCTCCTTCCAGTGCAGAATCACACACGGGAGCCTCAGAAAGCGTTGGGGCGAGCCCCTGGTGGGACGGGTCGGGTAACTGAGGCCCGGCAAAGGGAAGAGGCGTGCCCTAAGGCACACTGGTGAGCCTGCGAGAGTTCACAGAGCAGTCATGCTGGAGTGGCCATCTGGTCCACTGTCCGGATGGGGAGACTGAGGCCTTGAGAAGGGACGGTCCCACTGGCCTCCCCCATACCCTGTGCTCTTTTTTCTGGAGCTCAGTGACTTGACGTGAAGGGCAGAGGGGTTAGTGGCCTGATCCTAACAATAACTCTGTGAGTGCGGCCAGGCGTGGATCACTCCATGGCACTGCACACCGGGAATAAACGGAGGCCCCAGGAAAAGCTGAACCTGCCCAGAGCTGGCGCATGGCTGCCAGTGGCAGAGCCCAGTCCAATGTTGTGCCCTGGAACCCCAGGAGACACCAAGGCAGACCTGGTGACAAGGTCGTGAGTGTGGCACATGCGCCCCACATCGCCCCTGACCAGCTGAGCCACCCTGATCAGTCATCTGGCCTCAGTTTCCCCATCTAGCCCGTGTTGGGGTTGATAGCCTCCACCCAGCCATGCACCTGGTGGTTCCATGATTGCTTCCTAGTGTTCACCTATTTGCAGAGGACATGGCCACTGGGTTTCCCCAGACAGAAGGAGCCAGGGGCGTCCCGGGAGGCAAGGTGCTGTCGTGAATGAACCCTCAACCCCTCTGACCCAGCCTTTGGTCTCTCTGGGCAGCGGAAGGATGCACAGAGCCCGCAGGGTGCCCGGGCTATCTGGCGGGCTCTCTGCCACGCCTTTGGGAGACGCCTGGTCCTCAGCAGCACCTTCCGCATTCTGGCCGACCTGCTGGGCTTCGCCGGGCCACTGTGCATCTTTGGGATCGTGGACCACCTGGGGAAGGAGAACCACGTCTTCCAGCCCAAGGTAGGCCACCCTGGGGGAAAGGCAGGACACCTTCTACAAGGTTCTCAGCTGTGCATGAGAGTGATTGAGGCCAAAGTGTGTGAGCCACAGCCACACAGGGCTGGGGAGCACCTTACATGTGGACAGAGCCTGCATAGAAGTGCCATGGCCCAGGAGTTCGATGCGGCCCTATGCCCCTCTCCCCCGTCACTGCTGTGCTACCTCTCTGGGCTGTGAAGTCGTTGGGAAAGTTGCAGGAAGTGCATTTGTTGACTCAGCATCTAGAGTTTCCATGATGGCTGCAGTTGTTAGTTTTTAGTTGATGTTATCTGGATAAACTCAAAATAACCTTCCAGGGCTCTGTCGCCTTCAGCTCTTCAGATCTCACGGTTCGGCAGGGGTGTCTTGGGGCTGCTGAGGGGAGGGGGGCCCTCCACAGTCAGGGTGTCTTCTCTCACTCTGAGGCTCCTTCAAAGCTACCCCAGGTTGATGAGTATGTAGGACCTTCTCATTAAGATTTCTTCTTCAAAATAGGGGTCCATGGCTTAAAATGACACCTGTTAGACCAGGTGATGTCCAGTGGTCTTTGCAGCTGTCAAGGTGCTATGAACAGAACCTTGCTGGACCAGAGACACAGAACACCGTTTCTGGAGGTCATTTCCCCACTCATGGCAATCACAGCCACTTCGGGCTCAGGGGTCCTTCTTTGGTCCATTCCTTTGTGCCTCTTGGGTTTATGTGGCCACACAATGGAAAGCGGTTCACTCCTAATGAGACTCAGAGTTTTATTCACCCAGTGAGGCCGTCAGTATAGCATCTTCATCACAGCCACTCCGAAAACAATGCAGAGACTTTGCAACTGGGGCTCTTAATAATTTAGAACACCGCCCGCGCAATGTTAACTCATCTCAGGACTCCAAAGTCGCCAACGGCAGCTAATCCTCAGGAGGTTTGTGTTAATTTTCCTGGAGATGTTATGAGTCAGCTAAGCATCCTGGGTTACATGAGATACGTGACACAGGACACGTGTGTGTCTGAATCGTTCAGCCAGTGTTTATCGAACCCTACTTACTGTGTGCCAGACCTGTGGGAACATGTGGGGCATGGTTACAGTAGCAGCCACTTATGGACAGCTTAACACAGACCTGACTATGTGCACAAGTTACCCATGTGTCACTGAATCCCTAAAACAGCCCTGGCAGTAGTTTTTTGTTGAGATATCATTTCCCATACTAGACAACTCATGAGATACATATTCGTATCCCCATTTTATAGATGAGAAACTTTTTTTAAAAGATTTATTTATTTATTTGAGAGGCAGAGATACAGACACACAGAGAGAGGTTGAGAGAGAGAGGTCTTCCATCCGCTGGTTCACTCTCCAAATGGCCGCAATAGCTGGAGCCGGGCTGATCCGAAGCCAGGAGCTAGGAGCTTCCTCTGGGTCTCCCATGTGGGTGCAGTGGCTCAAGTACCTGGGCCATCCTCCACTGCCTTCCCAGGCCATCAGCAGGGGAGCTGGATTGGAAGTGGAGCCACCAGGACACGAACCGACACCCATATGGGATCCACAGCACTGGCCCCTAGATGAGAAACTTGAGATGCAGAGAGATTAGCTAATTTTCCCCAGGGTCTCCCAGTTAGTAACTGAGTCAGGTTTGAATCCAAATCTCTCCTACTCCACGGTCTGGGCTCTTAAAACCAAGGTGCTAAATTGACTATTACTATCAAGCCCTTGCTTCTAGCTACAAGAACTATGAAATCCAATGGGGGAGAAAAAAATCTAAATAAATATTTTTATACTGTGTGCTACATCTGATGTTTAGGAGGATTGGCAGGGAAGTGGGTGACAAACTCAGCCAGAGGCCGTGGACCCCTTCTTAGAGGAGGGAGTATTTGAATGGGGCCTTGGTGGGAAAGTAGGAGTTGGCCATGCTGAGGTGGACAGATTTCCTTTTCAATCAAGAAAAGAGGACTCTTTTTGCTTATTTAGATTTTTGATGGCCTTTGGGGCTTTGTCTGGCTTTTTGAGCCTCTAGACTTAGTCCAAAAAGGAAGGGGTGAGTGACTGCTTCTCTTGTCCCCAGGAGTGTCACCCCCAGCGCTAAGCTGACCACCAGTGACCCCAGAATTCTCTGCAATGACGCTCCGCAGCAGCACGGAGCACAGTGGTAGTCCTAGGGGGAGGTGACCCCAGCCATGGCCCTTCATGGCCTCTCCATGCCACCTTCTTCCAGAGCTTGGCAGCCTGTGCCAAGGATCTGGCGAGACAGCGCTTAGGATCTGAGCTGTCTGAAGGTCACCTGGCCATCCTGTTCTTCCCTCTCTGTACGCAGACCCTGGGTTTATTGCTCTCTCATTGGAATGCTCTCGTCCCAGTTACTTATCAGCACATAAATCCCAGAGACAGATGGCCCTGCCTCAGTGGCAGCGGCCCTTATCAGATTTACTCTTTGTTCCTGCCGCCCAAATGCAATCAGCAAATTTCTGACTTAGAAACGAGAGTGGAAAATAAATACGGCCTCCCGTGCCCACAACAAAGCACTATCCATCCCGTGGTTGCCTGGGATGGGGCTTCATTCTCCCCTGGGCTTCTGAGCCCAGAAAATAGGGAAAAAGCGGTCACTGACCGAGGTCATTTCATTCATCTCCCTGCCTCCTAGCGGCTCTCACCCCGAGAGTGGGGCGCTATTCTGGTCCCCATTACAAGTCATGGGGAACTTCCTTCTGTCTGACCTGGATGTATCCTGATGCAGCCTGGGCGCCTACGCTGCCTCGCTGGCCCTGGCTCTCCTGTTCTCTCCTCCCTCCCAGGACACTCTCGCTGGCAGCAAAGGCATCACCCTCTGCATCCCCCATGGTCAACAGCTGATGTCTTCAGTTACTGAGAGAGTCCGTGCCCTGCCAGATCTGTGATGCTCCTGCCCGCCCTGCCATTCCCCAGGGAAGCTGGGCGCCAGGCGGGGCTCCGCCCACCAGCCAGCTCTTTCCAGCCCTCTCTCCCGCCCAACCCCCATCCCAATCTGTCGCCTGCAACGGAAGGCCACTGCTCTGGCTGGAGGCTGAGAAACTGGATTCGTACAGAATGGCTGGGGTCTGAGACCTGCCGGCACCACTCTGGGCTATCGGCTGAGCCGGGGAAAGAAAGAACAGGGTTTGATTTCAGAGCCGAAGCTTTAAAGGCCTCTGATGCTCAGTGGAAAGGCACGAGTGGCTTTGTGGGCGTGTGTGTGCTTGTTCGCGAATGACTTCTCATGGGGATACTTCTGGGTCTGTTGTCCCTGTCTCTCTCAGTGTGTGTGTGTGGGGGGGGCATGTTTGTGGCTCTCACTATGGGTGACTTAATGAGCTTACTTCTGTTTGTGTTTCTGTGACTCTGTGGGCTGGCCTCTTCATCACACTGCCCATGCAGCTGTCCTGGAGTGCTTGCCTTCATGTCACTAACCTCTTCTTAGCCACCAAGACTCTGCTCAAATGTTGCCTCCTGCAGGAAGCCTTCCTTGGTTGAATTAGATGCTTCTCTTTAGTGCTCCTTGAACATCCAGTGCTTCCACCATCAAAGCGCTCTGTGTCTCTTTCCCCAGCTTGACCCTGAGTCCCCTGAGAAAGCAACCGCAGTTGTCTGACCTCTGTGTCTGCAGCACCCAACACCCAGCCTGACACACAGGAGACATGGAAGAAATGATCATACAATGAATAATGCAGAAGTTACCATGCCTTGAGCGCTATGTCCACAAATTCTTTTTTATATGCCTTGTGATGGTGAATCCTCATAACCCTTTGCCGTAGAAGCCCTGCCTCCTAGCTTAATTTCACAGATGAGGAAACCGAGGAACTTGCCCAATGACACAAGGCTGATCTCTGATGAGTCATGATTTGAACACGGATATGGCCGACCTCCAAGTCCAGCTCTTGAATGCATCAGATGGCTGTGGGTGGGTGAGTGGTGTGCTGGTCCCCAGATGGCCAAGGCCAGTTCTTGTGTTTCCCCAGGACCTCCCGGGCCACTCCACTTTTGCCCCTGCCAGCACCAGAGGCAAGGGCCCCTGGGATACTTAGCTCCTGAGAGCAAGGGAAGGGTCCTTTCCAGGCACGCCTGTGGTCAGACAGGGACAACAGGGACCAGGACTGTAGAGGCGGGAGTGCTGGGTTCCCGTCCCACCTCTGCAGCTCACTCTCCCGAGGCTCATTCACAGCCCTAGCTGCAAAATGGGGACATGTGTGACAACTTCTGTAGACAGTGCAGTGCCGTGATGACTGCCGGCGCTGATTCTCTCTGTAAAGTGTGTATGGAGCATGGCTGGCAGAACCCTGGAAACCAATGCAGTTTCTTCCCCGAGAGACAGGGAGAACCAGCACTGGGCATTTGGTCTTCCAAACCGTCGACCTTCCACCGAATGTCGAGCTGCGGGTCCTTGGCCTTTTCCCTCCTGCCAGGGTGCCTTCGGGGTGCTGCCCAGAACCCTCCCTCCCTCACCTCCTCCCTCCCCCCGGGCGCTCATCTCCCCACGCTTCGCCAGGGCCTGCCTTCCTGGGGCAGCATCCCAGGCCTCTTGGCGAGTCTAGATGTATTCATGTGTCTGTTTGACAGAGAACGATAGAGACAAAGAGATCTTCCATCTGCTGGCTCACTCCTCAAGTGGCTGCCACAGTCAGGGCTGGTCCAGGCTGAAACCCGGAGTCAGGAATTCCGTTCAGGTCTCCCACATGCGTAGCAGGGACCCAAGCACTTGGGCCATCTTCCGTTGCTTCTCCAGACCTGTTAGCAGAGAGCTGGATCGGAAGTGGAGCAGCCGGGACTCAAACCTGCTTCCTTATGGGATGCTGCTATTGCAGGTGGCGCCTTAATCTGCTGCACCACAGCGCTGGCTCCCTGGTACTCCCTTCTTCATTGGAAAGTCAGCTGTTGCAGGCTCCATACCTTTGGAACTGTTTGAAGAGATCTGATGGTGACCTAATGACTTTTACTAGCTAGGACATTTTCATTTCAACCCATCACAAAAGTCTTGATCCACAGGCGTGCGGTTTTCTGACCCCAGGGCCTATGCATTGTGGAAAGCAGGGTGCAGAGGTCAGGGTTTTGTCTCTGGAGCTGCGAAAAGCTGTTGCTTTGTTTAAAATGTGCAAATATTTAACAACTACAACCCGCAGTCTGTCTGCCCAGCACACGGGATCAGTTGCCATTTGCAGCGCTCGGCCCCCAGCCTCGGTGTTTCGCGATCACTGTTAGCGCAGCACGCGTGCAGCGTTCGTGTGCTGGAGAGCTTTTGTGACATCGGTGTTCTTGGGTGCGGGGTGTTCCTACGTGTACAGCAGCCCGCCGAGCCCTCCCCCAGGCTGGGCGCACACATGGGCTTTGCAGTCTCCTCGGCTCTACCCCAGAAATAAGCATCTTTGTGCGCACAGCCGTTCCCTTCTGTAAAGCGTCCTCTTTGGGATGAATGTCCATGATGTGCTTTACCGCTGTAAAATAATGGACTCCGTCCTCTGGGGCCGGGTCTCAGCAGAGGAGGGCGGTGGGAGGGAGAAGAACCCCAGGGCAGGTTAGACAGGGCCAGGTTTTCCGAAGCCCACAGGCCTGCATTTCCCGCCCGGACCAGCCAAATGGGCAGCGCCTCCATCCTGGGCCACTCAAGGCAAAGGGTTGAGTGAGGCCTCTGCAGAGTCTGGGGTGGTTTTGGCCTCCGACAGGCTCATATTGGCGTGCTGTCCCCTGCCCACATGTGGCCTCGGGCCAGCCACTTACCCAAGTCGGAACCTCATTTCCTCCTGTGTGAAGCGGGGCTAGGCACAGCATCTGGGGATTGCGAGAATGGAGTTCTGCGCATGCCCAACACTGTCTCCTCCCCTTCCACCCCGCCCCCGCAGCCTCAGCTTAAGGCCCATTCTGCTACTTTCAGCCCACGCCCACCTTCTGCCTTCCACGTCCTCGCTGTGCCTCCCTCTGGTACACTGGTGATGGAACCGAGCACAGGGGCTCTAGGCCTCGGGGGGCCCTCTTGCATGTACCCTTGGGTCACCTCCCTGTGCCGTCCCCAACAGGGAGAGACCCCCATCCCACAGAACCTGGGAGAGACCTTGCGGTACACATGACCAGGAGGCATTGAGGGCTGGCAGCAGGGCCTCTGTTAAACCAAGAGGTGAAGTCTTGTTCTCCCCCCAGGAATCCCCGCAGCCAAGTTCCAGGAATTTCTAACTCAAGGAAAAGACCTCCCTGCAGCCCTGGGCCAGCGGGATCCTGGCGGTGGACATGCCCCCGGCTCCCCTGCAGCCGCTCCCAGCTCAGGAAGGGGAGCCTGTGTGTTTGGGAAACACTGCAGCAGGGCCACGGGCTTAGCAGGATCATGGCTTCCTGGGAGCTACTGAGGCTGCATTTGGAAACAGAGGCATGCTGCACCCTGGTGTCTTGAGCAACAGAGCCCAAGAGTTTGCTTTCCAGCACTGTTTATCGTCGGAGATCTTGCTGGAAGTGCAGCCAGGGAGCCTGAAATGCCAAAGAGCTCCTGGGGCACCCGAGGCTGGGAGGGCTTGGGTCTGACTCGTCTCTGTCTACTGTGAGTGGGGAGCCTGGCTTGGCCATGGTGTCCACTGGCTCCTTCTGCCCAGAAGCCCCCGTGGCACAGGCTGCTGGTGAGCATGGGCCAAGGCCTCTGGCTGCCTGTGCGTCCATAGCAGAGCAGGTGCAGCGGGGGCGTGGCTCCGGCGCCTCCAGGTCGGGCTGCTCTGTGGTTGACCCTGTTTATTCCTGCCCCACTCAGAAGGTGCTCTCTTGGGCTTGGTGGCCACGGTGCGGAGAGTCACCTCCATGGGCCTTGGGCTAGAAGTGGATCCCCTTCTGGTCCCCTAAGTGGGAAGAGGGAGGGGAATATAGGCAACCCCCGTAGGTAGAAGAATGCTGAGTGGGGTTTTCGCCTGTGGACAGTTGCGCAGGCTTATAGGCAGGGAGCGTCTTGCAGGTCTCCGGGTCCTTGTGGCACAGCCGTGTGTATTGATGGTGGGTGTGCGCTGGCACAGCCGTGTGTACAGCCAGGGGTACCGTGGTGCCATGTGGCTGCCAATGACAGCTGCCTCTGAACTCGTCTTTCTGACAGACGCAGTTTCTCAGGGTTTACTTCGTCTCCTCGCAAGAGTTCCTTGCGAATGCCTACGTCTTAGCCGTGCTCCTCTTCCTCGCCCTCCTGCTGCAGAGAACGTTCCTGCAGGCATCCTACTACGTCGCCATCGAGACCGGGATCAACTTGCGCGGCGCCATCCAGGTACTCAGGTGTCAGTTCTCTCACTTCACGAAAGCCACATTATTCATCTTCTTGGACCCTCAAGAGTAATTCTGCTGTGAGATTCTTTCTCACTGTCCTTTGACGGTGCCTTGGAACAATACCCATAGGCAAAGCAGTGTGGGCCAATGGCGAGCGTCCTGGGCTGGGCTTGGGAAACGCAGGAGCTCAAGCCCTGGTTCTGCTGTGGACCAGATCTGAGATGTCTCCTTGCCCAACCCTTGGACCTGGCAGACATCACCAATCCATCACAGCACCCTTCCCTGTGAGTGCAGATGCAACCTCAGAATCCTTCTCTAGATACTGTTCCAGAGTTCTGCTACCAGCCAGTCTTCCTTAGGTGCAAAACTAGAGTTGTGAAAGACATGCCAGGTCTACATGGCCTCTACTGCCTAACCATTGGGTCCCTGAGGTCTGTGTCTGGCCTGACAGATCCTTGGAGGCTCAGGCTCTTGGTCTTGCCATCTGTGGCTTCGTTCTTAGAGTCGGTTGGAAGGGTGAGCAAAATCCAAGCATGTTCAGGGTTCCTTGGGAGCAGGTGGTGATGGCAGTTGTGCAAATCTCAGTGTTTGCACTAGAATTTTGGGTCAGCTATGAGAGACCCTACATGACAATACTTTCAGTAGGATACAAGTTTGCTAATTTTTCACGTTGAGTCAGGGCTGGTCCAGCAGCTGCACAGTCATCAGAGACCCAGGCTCTTTCCCTGATGTTGCTCTTCCAGGATTATTTATTTATTTTTAAGATTTATTCATTTATTTGAAAGGTGAAGTCCAGAGATAGGGAGAAGGATGGAAAGAGAGAGGTTCTATCCACAAGTGGCTGCCTGGGCCATGCTGTAGCCACAGCATGGGTCTCCCACATGGATGCAGGGGTCCGAGGACCTGGGCCATCTTCTGCTGCTTTCCCAGGCACATCAGCAGGGAGTTGGATCACAAGTGGAGCAACCAGGGCCTGAACCTGCAGGTAGCAGTTCAACCTACTGCACCACAGCACCGGCGCCTCTGTCAGCCTTCTTAGGTGACTTTTGTCTCATGGTGCAGGGTGGCTCTGGAACTGTTGCTGTCACGTTTGCATTGAAACTAGCAAGAAGGGACAAGAGGAGCGAATGATGCTCCTTTGTTTCGGGGCAGGTGTAGGGTCGAATACTGTTCCCTTTTAAAATCCTGATGCGGAAGTTGCACATACCCTGTCTCACCCCAGCGGTGAGAAACTGACCGGAAGTCCAGGCCCAGAGGCTGGAAGGTGCAGTTTCTATTCTTGACACTCATGCATGTCCCCTGCTGGAAATCCCTGTGGTGCAAAAGGGAGGATGGATGTTGAGGGGTAGCTGGAGATTCGGCCATACTCAGGGACTGCTATAAAGTTGAGGCAAGATCCCAAAGCTACCTCGTTTAAAAACGTTCTTCAAAATTATTAACATTGACTGCTCCTGTGGGAGCCAAGATCAAAGACTTTACAGAAAAGTGACCCAGAGGAAAAGGGGCTAGCCTGGACTGGAGACAGTGTCAGGAACCCAGCTCTGGCTATCTCAGTGTACAGTCCCTGTGAATGGTGGCCCCTGAAGTTGGACAGCGCACAACCTGTACAGCTGTACATGACAGCACCGCCCATACGAATGGTTTTTCATGGGAGAAGCGAACATTTCCTCAGGATATCATCATATGAGGATGGTGGAATGAGCCCAAAAAAATGTAAGACACTGTAAGATCTGTGGGGGCTCAGAGACAGGAGGCATCAAACTATTTCTCAGTATAGAAATGCTCTCTAAAAATTCCAGCCTCCGCTCAGACCCCTTCAGTCAGGCAGACTCACACACGGACAGCACGGACAGCAGCCACTTTTTTTTTTTCAACTTTTATTTAATGAATATAGATTTCCAAAGTACAGCTTATGGATTACATTGGCTTCCCCCCACCCCAATGACTTCCCTCCCACCCGCAACCCTCCCCTTTCCCGCTCTCTCTCCCCTTCCATTCTTATCAAGATTCATTTTCAATTTTCTTATATACAGAAGATCAGTTTAGTATACACTAAGTAAAGATTTCAACAGTTTGCACCCACATAGAAACACAAAGTGAAAAATGCTGTTTGAGTACTCGTTATAGCATTAAATCACAATGTACAGCACATTAAGGACAGAGATCCTACATGAGGAGTAAGTGCACAGTGACTCCTGTTGTTGACTTTACAAATTGACACTCCTGTTTATGGCATCAGTAATCTCCCTATGCTCCAGTCATGAGTTTCCAAGGCTATGGAAGCCTTTTGAGTTCACTGACTCTTATCTTATTTAGACAAGGTCATAGTCAAAGTGGAAGTTCTCTCCTCCCTTCAGAGAAAGGTACCTCCTTCTTTGAAGACCTGTTCTTTCCACTGGGATCTCACTCACAGAGATCTTTCATTTAGGTCCTTTTTTTTTGCCAGAGTGTCTTGGCTTTCCATGCCTGAAATACTCTCATGGGCTTTTCAGCCAGATCCGAATGCCTTTAGGGCTGATTCTGAGGCCAGAGTGCTGTTTAGGACATCCGCCATTCTATGAGTCCAGCAGCCACTTTTGAAGTTGGACAGTTCTGTGATGAAACCTACTTTGTACTTGTAAGTCATAAATCACGCACCAACCCAGCATTTTCCAATTACACTAAAAGAGCCAAAAATGTTTTTTTAATGTGTTAGACTATAATTGCTTTATCAAACTGTTTAAATCTTTTGCATTAATAAGAGAGACTAATTCACCTGCCACCAAAAGGAAATACTAGCATTAATTATGAAAACAGATTAGGAAAGAGAAAACTTTCTTCCCTTCAGAGATTTCCAGAAAATTATTTACAGAAAACTTACCCTTATCAAGGAGAGTTTGTTTCTTCATGAGTTTAAGAATAATCATGCGTTTTGTATGAAAAGTGATTAAGCAAAATTACTGAGTTTCATATAATATTTTTAAAAATACACCAGCTACCATTTGGTTATACATTTCCAAGTGGCATTACTTAATAGTGCTCCATTTGATAGATGTCTCCCTGTCCCTACTACAGTGAACCAGGGGACAAGCCTTTGAAGCCTGGTCCTGCATGACCCAGAAGGTGCATAGATTTGTCCAAAATACTATTGCCATTACCATTATTTTAAAGCTTGCCCGTGGTACATATCAACTCATCAAAATATAGAATAGCTTCATGCTTCAGGAAAACCTGATGCACACAAAAGCCCGGGTTACACAAAAGATGAATCAAGGGCTGGCAATCCACTTTACACCAGGCGGATTTCATTCAAGAGCAGGCACCCCTCAGACATTTAAGCCAGGAATGCATTTTCCCTTGTTCAGGTGCACATGGCCTGAAAATCTCCCTGGGAGGCACAGTCACTCTGTGCAGAATGATTGGGTTTTTTAGGCTCAGGGAAAGCTACTACCATGGCTGCACCCCAGCTGCCCTGTGGCAGCCCTGGGGGTGCCTGGACTCCAGGAAGGCGCTGGGGTGATCGACACTCAAGGCCAAGTCTCCCATCAGCCAGGCGCAAGCCTTGCATTATCGCAGGGCTCAACTGTGACAACTCGTGGCTCCAGCAGGGACCCCTTCCCCGGGGGGGAGGTGATGGCCACAGTAAACCCGCCGGCCGCCCGCACTTCATCATTCTTACGGCTCTGAAGTGTGTTCTCCACCAGCCCCTCATAAATCAAGAATACAACTGGACATGAAGATCTGCTTTGAAGATTTAAGAGCTAATTAAGTCCCGTCCCCCGGGGGAGAGGCCTCGCTGGCTGAGGAAGTAGTTTGCCATGCTGGCGTGGGTCCTCACCCAAATGCTGCCTCCTGGGCTTCCTGAATCTTGGACAAAGCCCCTTACGCCCCTGAGTCTCCCTGCCTTCCCCAGCACCACTGTGATCCAGTGCCCCCAGCGGCGCTGTCCAGGGGCTCTGTGGGGCTGGGGGGGGTGATATCTGAGAAGCCCCCCAGGGTGCTGAGGACAGTGGTGATGGTGACAAATGTGAAATGTTCTGCTCTCATTTCCAGACCAAGATTTACAATAAAATTATGCACCTGTCCACCTCCAACCTGTCCATGGGGGAGATGACTGCCGGGCAGATCTGTAACCTGGTGGCCATTGACACCAACCAGCTCATGTGGTTTTTCTTCTTGTGCCCAAACCTCTGGGCTATGCCAGTACAGGTACCCGGTGTGGGCTTGTGGTGGGTGGGAGGTAGGGGGAGGACTGCAGCCCCCCTGCATTTCAGCATCTTCCATTCCATCCTTACCTGTACCTTCCATCCCCGTGGGGTCTCCATGGGGTGCACCCCTGGGTCCTTGTACATTCCCCTCCCCTGCAGGCAGGGTATAATGATCATCATCTCTCTTGGTGGTCAGAGAAGCCCATCTTATTAAGACTTGTAGAATGCAACCATCCATAACTAAACTATAGCAAAATCATACGCAGAGCACTCTCGTGGACATTAGAAATTACATTGCTGCAAAATACTTAATTACATTGAGAAGTGTCTGTGACATATCTGAAGCAAAAAGAGTGAATTACAAGATAGCGTGTGCAGTGTGCAATTCCTCCTAAATTGGAATTCATGTTTGTATACCTTTGCACAGCTTCCCACGGAGAAAAGAACAAGAAGGCTGCGTGCTGGGGTTACAAGTCATTTTTATTTTCTTTGTGTTGCCAAAGTCTTCAGGAAACATGGATTATTTGGGGGAATGTGCAAGTGATATTTTCAAAGGGCAGGCAAGCTTTTGGGCCAGCTCAGGAGGAGGCACTTTGTCCCCCGGTGCTATGGGAGAATCAGAAGCTGAAACCCAGACTTTATTCCTGGAGAGCCTCCAGGTTCCACTCCAGTGTAGCAGTGAGTGTCCACACTTGCACAGGACTGACCGACTCCAGTCTTTACCCTCTCCGAGCCTCAGTTCCTCATCTGTGACATGGGGATGTTTCCTGCACTCTGAACTTGCTGTGCTGACTCAGAGTGGCGTGCCCAGCAGAGGGGTCCCTCAGGAAGTGCCAGTTCCCGCTCCTGTGCACGTGTTTGGAATGAGCGAAGTTGTGCCAACCCAGAACCCATTGCTTCTTGAGAGGCAGGTTTGGTCCTCTTTACCTGTAAGGCTTAGAATTAGAAGATATTTAAGGGAAATGGGAGAGACTCACACAGGGAGAAAACTGGGCTAAATGGGCTAGATGGGGAAGGCAGCTGATGTCCATTCGCACAAGGATGGGCGTATGTGACATCCCACATCCAGGACCCCTCACCATGCTGCCAAGATAGATAGATCAGTGACCCCAGAAGCTGTCCAAAGGCCTGGAAAGCTCATCAGATAGGCTCACAGCCTTCTAGCGCCAAGACTGCTCTATCTATCGTGCCCCTGAACAACCCGTCTCATCCGACCTCATCCACCAAGCCTGCTGCACTGAGATCCTGACCATTGTTTGTTGCACCTGTGTCTCTGCGGATGGGACTGACTGCCAACCCCTAGCCTGTGCCAGCCCTACCCCGGCCCCTCTCACCTGTGTTGCTTGACCCCACAACCAGGGGCTGGGGTGTGTGGGGAGGTTTTTACCTCCACTGAGAGTTGACCTTGCTTATTCATGAAGTATCAGTTGCTTTTGGCATTTTTAATTCATCAAAGGCTCTATCTTTGCAACTTAGAAATTTGACCCACATCGAAGATCCAGTGCTGCTACTGTGAGTGGACACAATCCCTATCCCAGTGCAGAGGCTGTGCCTGGCCAGGATTCTGCCTGCAGCCCTGTTGGCCACAGGCACACACAGCCTTTTCTCATCGCAGTTAGCTCCGGAGCCCCTTTCCGGTGCAAGCCCCAAGGGCTCTCCTTGGTTCCTTATCTTTTTCTTGGACACATACATTTTTTAAGAACAGCATTGTTGAGATAGAATGCACTCATGTAGAGACTGTACAATTCAGTGCTTTCAGAATATTCACAGAGTTTTGCTGCCATCAGCACAAATTGAGTACATTTTCTTTTTTTTTAAAAAAAGACTTATTTATTTTATCTGAAAGTCAGAGTTACACAGAGGAGAGGCAGAGAGAGAGGTCTTCCATCTGCTGGCTCACTCTCCAGTTGGCCGCAATGGTGGGGTTGTGCTGATCCGAAGCCAGGAGCTTCTTCCGGATCTCCCATGCAGGTGCAGGGAGACCTTTCTCAGGCCATAAGTAGAGAGCTGGATCGGAAGAGGGGCAGCTGAGACACGAAGTGGTGCCCATAGGGGATGCCAGTGCTGCAGGTGGAAGCTTAGCCTACCTGCTACACCACAGCACCAGTCCCTACAAACACTTTTGAAAAATCTGATGAAACTTTCTCAGAAAAGCCAATGCTGTTCACACGCGTGCCTGCAATTAGGGGGGCTTCAGGAGCCCCTCCGAAGTTTATCAAGGACACTCGGCGGTGGTGGCCACCTCTGTGTTTCCATATCCATGGGCTTCTGGGGCCCAGATAAGGCAGGAATCTTACCCTGGGCCTCACAGTGAGCCAAGAGCCGCACCACAGCTAGGTGGCCCCTTTCTGCGGTTCCCTGTGGCAGGTTCTCCTGAGACTTGTTGCTTTGTCCCTTTACGGGGGCTCAGCTGCGTTGTTCCTCCAGCTCTATGCCAGGCACATTGTAGGCGCTCGGCACAGACCTTTGTTTAACCTCACAGCAGTGCTGCACACTGAGCCTCATAACCGCCACTGCAAAAGTGAAGACGCTTGCCCATGGCTGCACTGCTGATGGGTACTGAGGCTGCATTCGCACCCAGAGCCGTAGACTCCAGGGACCATGATTTCCTAGTCCATGAATAGGAGACAAAACAGGTCCTCACCTTTGCTTTGCGCACTGGGAATCTCTGATTTCTGGCATTCTCCCCGTGACAGCCATTCAGACTCCTGCAGAGAAGATGAATGGACCAAGGAGTCTGGGGAGCAGGAGGGTGGGCCCCTGCCCCAGCCACCGCCGGGCCCTTGGAGGTGATACAGGCACAAGCACTGATCCCCGGAGGTGCCCTGTTAGTGACCCCAGGAGCCTCCTTGTCCAGCACAGCCCCTGCCAGCTGAAGCATCCCCTGTTGCCTCCGCTTAAGCAAAGCTAAGAAAGGACTGTATTCCAGGAGAACTTTCCAGAAGGTGGATGGGGCTGGCCAGCAGGGGTGGGAGGTTCCTCATCTCCTAGCACTCTCTGCCCAAGCAGGCCTGCATTTAACATCAGTTAAGCCCTGGGAGGCAGGTGGTGGAGGGGTTGCTTCCCAACCTCTCAGCTACCTGCCAAGGCAGGAGGCTTTCTGGAATGAATGCCAAGTGTAGAGCCCCCACCCACACCCACACCGCCGTCCTTGAGCTGGTGCAGGGAGTGCACTGTGAAGCTGGTGTGGGGCTCAGGAATAGCAGGGCCAAGTCAGGAGGCCTTTTCCCTCTTTTTTTTTTTTTTAAGATTTATTTATTAGAGAGGCAGAGTTACAGACAGAGGGAAACAAAGAGGATCTTCCATCCACTGGTTCACCCCCCAAATGGCTGCAGCAGCCAGAGCTGGGCCAATCCAAAGCCAGGAACCTGGAGCTTCTTCTAGGTCTTCCATGTGGGTGCAGGAACCTAAGCACTTAGGACATCTTCCACTGCTTTCCCAGGCCATAGCAGAGAGCTGGATCAGAAGTGGCGCAGCTGGGACTTGAACCAGTGCCCATATGGGGTATCGGCACTGCAGGCGGCGGCCTTACCTGCTACACCACAGCACCGGCCCCTTTCCCCTCTTTTATAAACCAGAGAGCGCAGCCCGTCTGTCCTTGAAGAATCCCTGTCTTTAGAGATGCTTGTCTTTGAAGGCAACCTGAGAAGCCGTCATCCCGGTGCCGTGCAGTGGGCACTGGTGAGAGTCAGTTACACTTCCCATAAATATTCACAAGTAGGCAGTCATTTACATAAAGCTAGAAACAAAACATTCTTCAGATTCACTGAGAAAGTGAAGAGGCCAGGAGCCTGAGAGGGAAGAGCAGTCTCTCCGACCCCGGGCTGCTGGTCAGGCCCGGATGCAGGGCCTCTGCCCCTTTGCTCCTGTGTCATTTTGCCCCGGTGAGAGTGGAAAGTCGGCCCTGACAGCCAGCTGTCACCCTCACAGTGCCGACTTCCGTCTTTGAAGTAGACTTGGAGAGGGCGGACGGACACTCAGCCAGCCTCGCAGAGAGGCAGTCACCAGGCTTGGTGCCAGCCCAGAAACTCGGCTGTGGCCAGAGCCCGTCTCACGAACCCCTCCTTCCCAAATCGCTCCCTCACCCCCTCCCCTGCTCCCCTCCCCAAGGCAGTTGGGAAAACCTGGGCACCCAGGCATATCCCACTCTGGGGCCCGGGAAAGGGGGCATGTTGCCAGCTTCCCAGGGCAGCAGCCAGATGAAGGGAACGCTGCCCGGCCCCTTCCTCAGATCATCGTGGGTGTGATCCTCCTCTACTACATCCTGGGAGTCAGCGCCTTGATTGGAGCAGCGGTCATCATTCTGCTGGCCCCCGTCCAGTACTTCGTGGCCACCAAGCTCTCGCAAGCCCAGCGGAGCACCCTGGTGAGTGTGCAAGGGAGTGCGCATGTCCTCTTATCCCAGCCACGCCCCGGGTCTGCCTGCCCCCCTGCCACTGACAGCAGCGGGTCACACCCCTGCTGACCTCAGGTAAGTCCCTTCACGGGCCAGGCCTGGGAAATGGGGTTCACGGAAGGAGCAGGGGGGCGGCGAGAGCACTGACTTGGTGCCTCCCTCTCGGGTTGGGGGCAGGAGGCGGGGCGGACGACGCTTCCCTCTGACGCAGCACCGCCCACAGGAGTATTCCAACGAGAGGCTGAAGCAGACCAACGAGATGCTGCGTGGCATCAAGCTGCTCAAGCTGTACGCCTGGGAGAACATCTTCTGCGCTCGGGTGGAGCTGACCCGCAGGAAGGAGATGACCAGCCTCAAGGCCTTCGCTGTCTACACCTCCATCTCCAGTGAGTCCTGGCTGCGGCTGCTGCTGGGATAGGGAGCCAGGGTTTGGGTGACAGGAGTGCAGGAGGCTTTGGGGATCAAACCCTAGGGGGTAGCTGAGCCCCCCGAAATCACAGTGTCCCCCATTCATTTATCCAGCAAAACGGGTACTGAGTTGCGCTACATACTGAGCACTGTGCTGGCATTCAGAATACACTGGGGAGGAGAACACACGAGGTCTCCACGCCCCACAGCTGATATGGATGGCCAGGCGGCAGCCAGCAAATACACAGCCATGGTTTTGCACTAACAGTGGGGACTTCTCATAAGTCAGATGGAGCTGCCCCTGCCCTGGGTAGCTACGAGGGAGTTTCTGTGTCCATGAACCCTGCAGAAGAAACTTCAGTCATCCTTAAAGATCAGAAGCCCACGCTGGGGGCCTCTCAAGTGTGGGCTCTGAATTTATATTAACCAAATGGTTGAGGAGCCCTAAGCCAAGGAAACGCTGGTAAGGTTCCTAGGGTCCCAGGAGACAGATGTTAAAACTACGTCACAGGCACTGTGGGACTCCTCTAGCAGTGAGCTAACAATAAAGAATCAAACTCCTTCAGAGAACAACGCTCCCCAGAGAACTAGTCCCTCAATATCTGGAGATGATAGCATCGTCTAAAAGAAAGAATGAAATAAGCCTATTTAAAGAGCAAAAAGTAGATATAAAATCCATAAGGCAAGCTAGGAAAGTATGAGGATAAAACCATCAAATGAGCTTCCATAAGTTAAAACTTCAGTTACTGAAATTCATTAAGGAAGTAGTGGACGGAGTGAGAGCCTCTGGAGGTCAGGCGGTCCGTGGGGTCATCACAGCTGGTCTCGTGGCTTCACAGACCCATCCCCTAGCGGTTACCTCCCAAGCACGCAGTGGGTATGTGGAGATGTAGCAGCTCCAAAATCCCATGCTGGTTCCCTGACAGTCCAGCGTAAGAGCTGTAATGGGCAGAAAGCCCAGTGGACAAGAGAGAGAGAGAGAGAGCATGCAGAGGAAATGAACAGACATAGCTGAAGAGAGAATTTCTTATTTGGGATACAGGTCTGTGGGAATTACACAGAAGGTGGCAAGGAGAGAAAGTGGGCAAGACTTTCTGCCATCTACAAGGACCATTTTACAAATGGGAAACTGAGGCCAGAGGCGGCAGGGGGGGTGTTTCTCAAGGTCACTCCTGAGGTTAGCAGCATGCTCAGATGAGATCCTCTGATGCCTCCCAACTCCCAGAGTAGTGCTATTTTTCCACCATGAGCTGAGCACGAAGGGACACCCTTGGGAGGCTGGTTTTACTTAACCTGGGCTCTTTCAGAATGGGAATAGAGGGGGAAATTAGGAAAGGTTGTTGACCACCTTCCCCAGCTGTGCTGGGAAGAGTCACCCGTGAGGCAGGTGGGAGGGCAGTAGTGGGTGGGCAGTGCTGGGACTGTCTCTCAGGCAGGCTTGAAGCCTCATGAAGAATGAGACAGCCGCTCAGGTCTTCTGTGTGTTCCAGGTGTCCATGCTGCCTAGAGGAGCCGAGGGCCACCCTCCAACACAGGGGTTCCCACAGGGCAGGGCTGCCACTGAGCATCCCAGGTGTTGGGCCTCCCTGAATCCAGCCAGACCATGGTGTCCCATGGCTCTAGTGGGGACCCTGGTCCAGTCATTGTCAGGCACAAGGCCCTCCACTGTGCATGGCACAAGCCGTGGGGTCTTTCTGCAGGAAGTCTTGCCAGGGTTGATTTTCTGAGACCGGGGCTATGGGCACGGCCGACAGCCATTGCTTCCCAGGTTCCTCACCACCAAGACACTCCAAGTTCTGGGTCTCTCCCCTTTATCCTCATCCCTGGCCCTGGGCTGCTCCCAGGCTATGCACTCTGTAAGATGGAAAATGCAGTAAGAACATTTAGGGAGCCCAGAAAAGCCAGGGTCCCCACCTGTCAGCGGTCGCCTGAGGGCTGGTTCTACTAGCCGTAGTCCTACTGGTTTGGTTTTGTTTTAAGATGTTTGTTTTATTTGAAAGAGTTAGAGAGAGGCCGAGAGAGAGAGAGAGAGAGGGAGAGAGAGAGAGAGAGAGAGAGATGTCTTCCATCCACTGGTTAACTCCCTGAGATGGCCACAATGGCTGGAGCTTCACCAATCTAAAGCCAGGAGCCAGGGGCTGCTTCCAGGTTTCCCACACAGGTGTAGGGGCCTAAGGACTTGGGCCATTTTCTGCTGCTTTCCCAGGCCACAGCAGAGAGCTGGATGGGAAGAAGAGCAGCCAGGACTTAAACTGGCACCCATATGGGATGCCGGCACTGCAGGCGGCAGCTTTACCTGCTATGCCGCAGCGCCAGTCCCGCCCCACTGTTTATTCCTGTGGACAGTCCCTTGAGGGCCACAGCAGTGGGAACAACTGGCTTCCCCGATAGGCAGGGGACTTCCTGTCTCAGCACGCGCACAGCAGGCTGGGGTCGGCAGGCTCACTGCTGCTGAGATGGAGAGGGCAGGGAAGCAGCAAGGTAATCAGGGGCACTGTGTCCCCAAGAGTCCTGGGGTCGGGGAGCTCTGCACTCACTTCTTGCCTTCCCAGTGGCAGTCTGGGACAAGTTTTCCTATGTAAACAACAACTCAATGTGCCCAGGTGCCCAGGCTAGCCCATCAGAGCCTATGTAGCCCATGCTGTTTGTCCCACGGAGGCCCTCAGAGGCCAGGCCACAGCTCCATGACAGGCCTGGGGCCAGCAGGACCTGAGCGCAGGAGGTTTTACATTATTCAGAGCTGGATGACTCTGGAAGGAGCAAGGGGGCTCTGGAGCCACCAAGCAGACAGCTGCCCAGGGCCTGTCACCTGTGCAGGGGACCTGGAGGGATCCACCAGCAGCCAGGTTGGCCCCTGGAAGAAGGGTGTGGGGAAGCAAAGGCAAGGGAAGGAAAGAACTGTCCGGGCGAGCTGTGGGAGCCAAGTGCTGTTTGCTCAGGGTGTTTGCTCTTCCTGGGATGTGTTCCTTTCTGCTAGGCAGCAGCGGGAGAGGGACAGAGGGGCGGGGGTCGGGACACCTCCCGGCTGCACCTGCTTCGTGTATGTGTTCCTTTCCCTCCTCCTGGACTTCCGTTCCTCTGTTACCAGGGCTCAGGACACAGGTCATTAAGGCTAAAGTAATGGGAGTCTCATGTTCTTCCACTGGCGCCAGTCACAGGGTGCAAACCGCAGAGGAGCCCTGGAGTCACATTTCCTGGTCTGCCTGTCCTGGTGCGGTGTGCGGGTCCTCCATCTGCTTGTCTGTGCACCTTGGAGGCAGACTGTCGGGCGGAGGAGTTGACCTCCAGCCCTCTGTCTGCCTGCAGGGGCCCTGAGAGCTCTTCGGTATGGAGCCCCAAGCCCTGCAGGACACTGGTATCCCTAGTATCCCCGACAGCAAAATCTGGAGTCCGTAGTTCCTCGAAGGATGGCAAGTGAGCCCCTGTGTGTGCAGCGCCCTGTGCGAAGCACCAGGAAGGCTGCGAGGGACAGCAAGATGTTCCTCCCGCTCTCAACAAGAAGTCAGAGCTGGCATGCACAGATTACGGTGGCAGCGGGCTCTGGCCGGCTGCCTAGCAAATCGGATGGCGCTTCGTCCTCGTCACAACTCTGAGATGTGCTGCTCTCCTGCCCCATTTCACAGCAGCCAGGACTGGGGCCCCCGTGAAATGCCTCACCGAGGTCTCAGCCAGTAATGGCAGAGCACCGAGCAAGAAGCCCGTGGGCTGGAAGTGCACACAGAGGTTCACGCAGGCGACCACTGGGCTGCATCGTGCATGAAGGGTGTTGACGAGTGAAAGATAAAGTGCGAGAAGGCTGGTGACATGTGCTGTGGCCCCTCCCTCTCGAAGTCCGTTTGATCCCTAATCCACGCAGAAGCAGTAACTCCAAGGGTTTCCTCTGTATTTGAGGACCAACTTTGCAGAGGTGACAAAAGGGCTCTAGATCCACCAGTCAGCCAACTAAGATGCTGCCAGTCCGTTCTGTCCATGTGCAGCTCGCATTCCAGAGCCCTTTCTCTGTGCCAGGCCTCGCAGAGGGCAAGGGCATTAAAGAGGAAGTGAGCACGGTCCTGGCGCTCACAGTCTTACAGGTGGCTGGCTGTGCCCATGACCAATGGCTGTGCATGGGGTCAGAGCCATGGGGTCTGCTCCAAATGCCTCTGTTTGTCTTTCTGTGAGACTCGCCTGGCCCTGTGTCTTTGGATTCTTTCCTTCTCTCAGCCACTTATTTAACTGAGCACTTACTATGTGCCAGGCCTTGGGGATGCAGTCGTGAGAAGACACAGTAAGTCCCAGCCTGCAGATTGCTTACCGCCTGCCTGCTAGGGAAGGCAGACATGGAGCGGTGTCTTGAAGACAAGAGCAGAAAGGGATACTCGCGGCAGCCAGGAGAGTTATGAGGGTTAGGGAAGGCTCCTCAGAGGTGAGGCCCACAGCTGAGTGCCCAAGGATGACCCCGGGGCAGCCGGAGGAGGGGAGGAGGGGAGAAGCCCCCAGCCACAAAGGCTGCAGGTGCGGGAGATCTGTTGTGTTCAGGACTCAAGCCTAATCCAGGAGGACAGGGAACAACTCAGGCAGCACCCTGTGGGCTGGGTCCGAACCCTTGGGTTTCCTGCTGCAGCCGCGGGAGCCACGTGGACAGGCACAGTGAGGGAAATAGGTGTTCGCTATCATCCTCAGTGCTCTGTGCTCAGAGGGCTGAACCACAGTCACGTGGGACCTCCTTGGATGATTGTGACCGGCCTCGTGCTGTGTCCTAAAACACAAACAGATGATTCAGAAACTAACCAGACACCCCCAGCTAACCATCCAAGGGGGGCAGGGGACACGGCTGTACTGGCCAACCCCAGACACAGGGCGCCCAGCATGGCGCCTGTCCACAAGCCCCTTGCTCGCTGCTGGAGGCCCTGGGTGGAGGGTCCAGGTGCCCTCCCTGCCTGGTCCCCTTCTCTAGCTTCCCCAGAATTCCCTTGAGCATCTGCCCTTCCTTCCGCCAGCTGGTGCGGCAGCGGCAGCAGGTTGCTGATGCGTCTCCTGGCCTGGTTTGGCAGGGGAGGGTGGCTGGCGGGGAGTCAGGGGGCTCATCAGTGGCGGAGGCAGAAATCAGTGCGACTGCAGGGCCGCCCGCCCCACTTCCTCAGTCGCTGGCCGCAGACACACCTCATGAACCTGCTTCCCCTCCCTCTCTGCTTACGGCCCTGACCGTGGGACTGAGTGGGAAATAACCCTGTGCACTTTAAAACCCATTTCCGCTCCTGCAGAGGCAGCCCAGAATCAGGCCCAGGCTGTGAGCCCACAGCCCCTCCACTGTCCCTCCTCGGAGACAGAACTGAAGTTACCCAGCGGCACCAAAGGCTGGCGCTGCCTCCTGGACACATGGCTTCTGAAATATTTATCAGTGCTTTGGCAATGCAAAGCTGCTGGTACCGCTGGCGCCGAGGTCAGACAGCATTCCTTGCACAGGCCCGGGGAGAGCAGGTAATGTGAGCTCTGCCTGGGTGTGGGTTGTGATTTTGCTTTATTTGAGGGCGGTATGAAAAGCTGGCACACACCACACCTGAGACAGAGGAGGAGAAGACCTTTAAAAAATCATATGTGATTGAACAGCTCCAGAATGTTTTTGGAGGGAATGAAACCCCAGGGCCTGTGTCTCTGCACTGTGGCCAGTGGCCTCTCAGACCCGTGTACCTGCCACCAAACCTTCCCAGAATGCCATGGTGCCTACACACCGTTTTGCAATCTTGTTTCATTTACACGACTTAGGTGGCATTTTGTGCTCCCTGGCACTCAGGATCTGAGCAGGGTCGTGCTCTGTCGCTCCCCGTCTTCGTGGAGGAACGACACAGGACCCTGCGCTGTTCTTTTGCCTGCTCGGCCCTCCCCGGGTTTGCTGCTGGTTCTTCCCGGGTTGGCTACCGACCCTTCCACCTCCGTGGAAGGGCGGTTCCCCCTGGCCACTTTCCCCACTTCCGCGGGGGAGCGGCACACCGCCGGCCGACTCTCTCGGAGGCTGCTCAGGTGTTCCTTCAGATAGATGTTCCTGGTGCATATTGTCTCCTCCTTTATAGTCCTCTTCCACCAATCCCAACTCTGCTACCCACACGCCGAGTACGCTGCTCTCCTCCAATCAGGAGCAGGTCCTACAGTTTATTGGTTGAACTGGAGGCAGCTGTGTAGAAGCTGTTACTCCCTTCTCAGCGCCATATTGTGGGAGAGCAGATGCATAGAATAAATCTTAATTCCAGTAACTTAGTCTAGTCCGAGTTGCTCCCCACAGTGCTCTTCATTTTCTGCATTTTGTTTTTGTTTTTCTAAATCAGATCCAGGTGAATCCCCCACCCTCCCACTGCCCTGTGAGGAGTCTGCTCTCCAGCAGGTGTCCGACCCCTCCCGCCACCCAAGAATCTTGGCAAGCTTCCCATGGGTCAGGGAAATGGGACAAGGCTTCAAGACTCCCACCCATGACAGCTGGACGTCGGCTCCATGGCCCCGTCACTCTCTGAGTGGGCACAGGACTGTCAGGAGCTAGAGCCCCCTGCAGCTCCAAGCCCCCTGGTCTGCAGCCCTGGCATCCCCAGCTCCAGCCGCATGCGCCCCAGGGCTGATGAGGTGATCTCTAGAGAGTCCATGGGGTCCCAGTGCTCCCATGCCACCTGTAGGGACCTGCCATCATCCCAGGAGAGGGTGAGGGGAGTAGCAGTCACCTTTTCCCTCCAGCATCCCCATGCAGCAGCCAGAGCAGGGTAGAAAGTAATTTATGCTATAAGCATGTTCCGTGTTGCTGCCTCAGAGTTGAAATGTTCATTTTTAAAATTTATTTATAGTATGCCTTATTCCTCAAAGGAGTTCAGGCAGCTCCAAGAATAAAGGCAATAAAACAAAAAAAATATATATAAAGACAATCATGACGAGGGAGAACATGCCGTGGAGTAAAATGCCGATTATCACGCATTTTCCGAATCTCCCCGAGAAGGGATGTGCTGCCCTCCAGGGGAGCAACCCCTCCCGTCGGATGCTTCCCGTTCACTTCATCTGGGGCTGGGTTGTTGCTGTGGTTGCGGTTTGATTCGGCTGTGGCGGAGAGCTGCTCGCTGCTCGCTCTGTGCTTCTCTGCAATGATTATTTATGAGATGTTCCCAGGAGGCGGATTATAGGATCAGAAGGTCTGAACTTCTCTGGTACTTGAGCTACAAGGCACCAGATTGTTCTCCACGCGAGTCGTGCCATGGGCGGTCCGACTCCCAGCCCACTCTCCAGCTGGGAGTCGGGCCCTAGAGTGTGGGGCAGGGCCCAAGGGTGGTGCACGGTGCCTTCCGTCACGGGAACCTCTCCTCGATGGTCATTTGTGGCCCTGGGCAGGCCAGGAGCTGACGGGAGGCCCTGCCCTGTGGGACTCCCTGGAATAATTGGTCCTGGGGCGGGGGCAGGGCCATGTGTGCTTAGAGCACTTTGGCTGGTCATGGTCAAGGGCCCAGGCCTGATGGGCACCCCCTCCCCTTCTTTCTCCCCTGCCAGTGATGGCCAAACCGTGTCCTCCGTCCCAGATCTGGGTTCCTATACTGTGGGTAGAGCCCATAGGCCTTATACTGCTGCCTGCCAGGCACTGTGAGGGAGGCTGTGGCACTGTGGTAGGCATGCAGAGGCCATCCGGCCTCCATGGGAAAGGGCAGTCGGAGCACAGTCGTGAATGATGTTCAGTAGCGATAAGAAGCCTTGTGGTCAGAGATTAGCAATGCTTCAAGGCTCCAACCATATACTCTCCAATGGCAGGGGCCTTGCCTCCCCCATCAGATTAGGAATTCCCCAGAGATGGGGTCAATGTCCTTCCTATCTGCTTGGGACCCTCCCTGGGGCGTGTTCTATGTCTCCCCGTGATATCAGGGTCTTCCTGAGAGTACAGTTCTTGTCTCCTAACTCAGATTGCAAACTCCCTGGGGACAGGAGCCATGTTCTTGCACGCAGCTGAGGTTCCCTGAAGTTGGGAGCCACATCTCCAGTGGACACCTGCATGGACCAGTGGGCAGTCAGCTTCCTGGCCTGGGGCTGGCCGGCTAGGCTTCGTCGGCATGTCACAGACTTTGCCATCCACTAGACAGTGGCTATGTATGCAGGCTGAGTCCTTGGCGTCTGGTTCCTGGGCTCCTCGCTCCTGGGCCTTCACTGGGCTCATTACAGAACCAGACTCCTTTCTGGGCTGGCCTGGAAGATTCTGGAAGCAAGGAGGACGAGATGGGAAGGCAGCAGTTGGCTTGGTCGCCTCTCACTCCAGGGAGCTCCTCTCTCTCTCCCTCTCTGGAAGTTCAAACCTGGGCTTTAGGCTGTCTTGGGCATCTCCCCCTGGGCCAGAAGACAGGTGAGTTGGGAAGCAGGGTGAGCTAGTGCTCCGTGCTGTGTGATAATCAGGCAGCGCTGAGGGTGCACAGACCCTGCCACCAACGTGATGGCCCCCGGCCTCACAAAGAGTGGAATTATGTATGAGGCTGCAAAGATCAAGTGGGGAACGACATGCCCAAGGTTACAATACAGGAACTCCACCTCCTCCCTTTTCTGAGTTAAAAGTCCAGCTCTCTTTACTCTGCGCATGCTATGAAAGATCTGCGCCCCGCCAAGCGTGGACGCTAAACCTCGGATCTCAGGGAGGCACTACTTTCGCCAGCTTTAGTTCCGTGTGCCTGGCCCAGCGCGAACCAGTATGAAATCCCTCCGCAGAGCCTGGGGAGATCAGCAAGCCCCTATGTCTGAGCGAGAGCCTGGCCTGGGAGGACGCGGGGCTTAAGGAAGGAGAAAGGAGTGCCCCCGAAACCTCTACTGCCGCCCCCAGATTGCCACGGGCAGTCAGCAGCTCCCCAGTTCTTCCCCCACCACGTTCCGCGGGCACAGCCACCCCAGTCCCATGGAACAGAGTTCCAGCATTTTCTCCTTGAGTGTCGGAGAGACAGGAGCTATGGCACGTGGGACGGGGGTCCTGAGAAACAGAGGGAGGAGTTGGAGGTGTCCCACCCCAGCGCCACCTTGCAGGCTGCTGCGCCTGGGACCTCGGCGGCTGTCGCCCGCCTCCCACTGAACACGCCCGTGTGCTTCCTCCACAGTTTTCATGAACACGGCCATCCCCATCGCAGCTGTCCTCATCGTGAGTACATGTGCCCCCACTCTGGGGAGGGCTGGAGGGGGCGGGCGGCTGTCGCGAGAGGCTGCCCAGGCTTGCGGGTTCTGCGTGGGGACATTGGAGGGCGACTCCGCAGCGGGACGGAAAACAGAGAACAGGAAGGGCGGGGCGGTGGACCTCGGGTCCCCCCCTCACCTGGGACCTGCGGGGGCCTCTGTGTCACTGGAGGCTGGAAGTTCGAGAAATGAAACCCTCTGGGCAAGATTAGCTACCCAGCGTGCTCAAGACGAGAGCGAGGCGTGATTATTGTAGAGATGATGGGAAACCCAGAGGGGAAGGCACCCGGGGAACTGAAATCGCCCACAATCCCGCTGGCCGTGTCTTTGGTGCATTTCTTTGCAGTCTTTTTTTAAGACATAGGCTAAGTCATCCCTACCGAAATAGGGTTCTGCCACACATACAGTTTTGTAACCAGTTTTTTTTTTTTTTTAAGTTGAGACCTTGTCATGCCCAGTTCTCCATGTCGTGAAATAGCACGATGTGTTTTTTTAAAGCGAGCTTGACCAAAGCTGTGGGTGAGCTCAGGGGTGGGGGCAACCAAAGAGCTGCTCCAGAAAGGCCCAGCCCCCCACCAGCCCACAGCCCTTCGCCCCAGCCCCCAGGATGGCTCTGTGACCACTGCGGTTCTTTAAAAAGAGAATGTATTTCCCTTGGGGCTGGTATCCCTGAGCTCTGTCGGGTTCACAGCCTGTCAGGCGCTCTTGGAATTCACTTGCAACCTGATTTATTGGGCTGCTTTCTGGCCTGGCTCTTTGGGGAATTGTGGGTAACAGGGGCCCTGAGCTGGCCAGGTAGCCGGGTCAGGCATGGCTGGGAGCTGGCTGTGCACTTCCTGTGTCTACACTGGCTCCCACTGGGGGCTGGGGAAGCAGGCAGTCTGGCTGCTGCTTAAGGAGGGAGGGCACTGGCCTAACCCAAGAGCCCCTGTCCAGTCATTCCTGCCAGGGAAGGGGCAGCTTGGGGGGAGGCAGGGCTGGGGGAGGAGGAGGACCAGTCCCTGCCCTCCAGCTCGAGGTCCTGCACTTGCTGGGGACGTTTCCACAACGTGACGGATGATGAGTGTGTCTCTCTGGGTGGGAGGGGCCTGCGTCCTGAGCCACGCTTCTGTCCATAGACCTTCGTGGGCCACGTCAGCTTCTTCAAAGGGGCCGACTTCTCGCCATCGGTGGCCTTTGCCTCCCTGTCCCTCTTCCACATCCTGGTCACCCCGCTCTTCCTGCTGTCCAGTGTGGTCCGCTCGACAGTCAAAGCGCTGGTGAGGTGAGGGGAGGCTGCCTGTCCTCTCCTGTGCTATGGGCACCTGCTAACAAATGGCCTGTACCTCAGCCTAGAAGCAAGACACCCCTGTCTTGGGGGACCCTGATTGTGGGGGTCGGGTGGGAGTCCTGGGCAGCTGTCAGAATGAAGCAGCCCATGGAGGGGTGACTTGCAGGAGGCAGCTCTAGCAGTGGCCCAAAGACAGAAGGGAGACAGTGATCCAGGGAGTATATGGCCGGCAGTGTGATGAGCTCACATATCCGGGCTCGACTGTCCTGACTCAGTTCATGGGCCATGGCATCGTGACTTCTGATCATCGTCCCTCTCCCTGCCGCCTCTGCTCCAGCCTTGGGATTCGATGTAGAAATCAAAGACTCAAGGTTGCTGCACCTGCTGGAAATCCACTGGGCCTACCCAATGCACTCACATTTTTAAGCACTGTTGGTTTAATTCTGTTGTTTCCAAGAATGAAACACCAAGGGAGCCGAAGGCTTTTTAAGGAGGAAGCACAGGCTGTGGGCTCAGGGTGGGAGTGAGAAGCAGCCTGAAGCTCCACATTTCTCCATCCCCAAAACTGCAGGGAGAGCTCCAGAGAGGGAGGATGGGGACAGAGAGGCCTGGTGTCTGCCCCTCTGAGGGGCAGCAGGTGCACAGAATGAAGACCCCCAGGCCACAGCTTGCTTGCAGCCCCAGACTATTCCTACCTTAGGGGTAGGATGGCTTGTTTTGCCCCAAGCCTCTGATAGGTTTAGCAAAAAGGAGACAACAGGGACACAGACCAGTCTCAAGCTTCGCAGTCGGCTCCCAACCCCCAGGATGGGAAAGAAAGAATTGAGAGAAGGAAAGGCCCAGGGCCTTAGCAGCATCCACAGGGCGGTTGGCAGTGGGGGGAAGGGGAGGGTCCCCTCCACGAATCATAACACCTGCTCCCAGCCCCGCAGGTTGTGGTGGGACTTTGTATCCTACTTAGGAAGCAATTAATACAGTGTCTGGCATGTAGGGCATGCTCCCAAAACATTAGCTATTGTTGATAACCAATCCTAAACCTAGTGAATTTGAACACAGGTCAGCCTTGGCTGTGACAGTAGCTAACCACGGCTAGCACCAACCATATTCCAGTTCAACAATCCGGACTAACCCATGCCACCTCCAACCCTCAATCTAACCAGCCCCACCTCTTGTGCAGATCCTGCTCCATGCTCACAAACCTTGACAATGCCTATGACCTGCCCCTCGGGGGTGCCCACCGGTCCATCCCCACCGGCATGGGCTTTGTGGGGGCCACACCTCAGGACAGGACCCTTCTGGGAGCTTCTATCTCATGCCACATACACCCTGCTCCCTTGCCCTCCCCTCTGCCGCTGGCAGGGGTGAGGGGGTCTCTGTGCATCCCCTGCAGTGTGCAGAAGCTGAGCGAGTTCCTGTCGAGTGCAGAGATCCGCAAGGAGCAGAGTGCTCCCCGTGAGCCCGCACCCCAGAGCCAAGCCAGCAAGTACCAGGCGGTGGTGAGTGCTCGGCCTCCCTGGCTGCTCGTGGACCCTTCTCCGACCAGCCTCAGCCTTTCCTCCCTGCTGGCACAGCTCCCGCCCCAGCGGGCCCTCACCTCCTAACCGTCCCCAGCCCCTCAAGGTGGTGAACCGCAAGCGCCCGGCCCGGGAGGATTGTCGGGACCTCATGGGCCCCCTGCAAAGGCTGGCCCCCAGCGCGGACGGAGATGCCAACAGCTGCTGTGTCCAGGTGAGCCCGAGGCCCCGCACCCCCATGCCGGCTACACAGCACCTGGAAGGCCGGGGTGCTGGGTCCTCCTTCCACAGGTCTCCCTGCCTGCCTATAGGGTTCCTAGCAGCCCTGAAACCAGAAACAATGCTTCCACTCCACTGAGCCAGGGGACACTCAGCCATCCTCTGGGGAGGGTGCCTTGGGCAGGGGTCAGCCTGAAAGGGTCAGTGCCCCCCTCACCTGCCCCAGAAGTGATCTGGGAGCTGGAATCGGTGTCTTTTGGCTTTTGTGGGGGCGAGGAAGCAAGAGACACCTGAGCACACACACTGAGACCCCAGCTGCCTTTCTGTTCTCATCTGCACGGTGGGGTGTGGCCAACAAAGATCATCGGAGGCTTCTTCACGTGGACCCCGGATGGGATCCCCACGCTGTCCAACATCACCATCCGTATCCCCCGAGGTATGCCCAGCACTCGCCAGCAGGCCCTTCCCCACGTCTCACTGACAAGGAAAGACAAATCCACAGTTCTTGAGTCGCTGCTCCCTGCTCCCTCTGGGGGACGCAAGACAGGAGGAAGAGGGCTGTGTCCTCGCGTGACCTTGTGCCAGGGGCAAGTGCAGCAGCAAGGACAGGGCAGGACAGGGGGGCCCTCAGTTCTCAAATGAGCCGACTGGAGCAGCCAAGAGAGGCTTGCGGGGGAGGTGGGGTTTCTGAGAATGAGCAAGGTCCCTGGGGCCAGGAGCAGTGCCCTGAGCCAAGGAGGAGGCTGGGAACCAGGATGCCCTGGTTGGGAGCATGAGGAGCTGGGCTCTCGCTGGCGGGGCACTGGAAAGGAGGAGGGCATGCTGAGGGAGGAAGGGGCCAGGGAACAGAGTGGAGGAGGGGCCTGGGGAGCCGGAGGAGGGTGTGGGTTTCGGGGAGGGACGGCTCTTGGGGGAGAGCAAGTCTTAGGGATTCTGGGGATAGGACTGGGTGTCCGTGTCTGTCTGTCTGTCTGGATGGTGGTTGTTCACGCTTCCCCGGCCCTCCTCTGTCTGCCACCCGCCCTCCCTGCAGGCCAGCTGACCATGATCGTGGGGCAAGTGGGCTGCGGCAAGTCCTCGCTGCTGCTTGCCACGCTGGGGGAGATGCAGAAGATCTCGGGGACTGTGTTCTGGAACAGGTGAGGCACGCATCCGCAGTGAGCGGGGGCCCTCCGTCCCATCGTCCTGCTCAGCGTCCACTGTGTGTTCAGTGAGGACTCAATAAATGCCGCACGTTGCTCTCCTCATCATCGTTAGTACCGATTCTAACCTCACTATGGGCCAGGTTCTTTGCTAAGTCCTCAGCATGCCATTTTTCTTTAATCCTTCTGATACCCAGCAAAGTAAAGGTTATTATCAGTTCTCGCCTTGTGGATGAGGGTTATACTGTTTGGCCTAATCCACACAGCTAGCAGGTGGCAGAGCCGGAATTAGAACTCAGTCCTGTTTGACTCCAAATCCCATGTTTGCGGAGCGGCTGTGCCTCCCAGGGTAGGAGACTGCAGCGCCACCATTGATTTCCAGCGAGGGCTGGACACCAACCAGTCAGCGGGTGTGTGCAGGAGCGAGAGGCAGCCCAGACAAATGGTGGTTTCTGGGCAGAGATCATGATCTTAATTAAAGAGCCAGAAGCTCGGGCTGAGTCAATCATAAATCTATTATTCATACCCATCTACTTCCAAAAAGCACTTGAAACTCGTTGATAAATGATGCAAATAAAATAGAACCTCTCCAAAAATTAAGAAAAGAGGAGCTGAGACATGAGGAGGGTGCGCCCGGTGTTTGGAAGCTGGGCAAAGGACAGCTGAAGCCGTTAACACGAAGCCTGGCTCCCAGGCCTCCCGTAGCCAAGGGGAGTGGACATCTGGTCGGGGTTTGCAGCTCTCATTCGGGAATAAAGGTCGCAGCCAATTCTGCAGGACAGGCCTGCCCTACTGGTCACTTCTCGGGGAAAAGCCTCATTCGGATGCCACATTTTACTCAGTGTGACGCAGAACGGAGCAGAGAGAAAGATCCCGGGCCGTGCGTCTGAGCACCAGCAGGCACCCCCACTTCCTGCTACTCCCGAGTGCTGCCCACAATGGGTGAACAGTGCATTTCCCCTCTCGGCCAGGTGAGCCCCTGGGCTCTCCTAGGCCTCAGTCGGCCTCTTAGCTTTAATTCCATGGGGGGTTTAGGGCCACAGGGCTCTCTGCCTCCATCCTGCGTCTTACTGGGAGAATTTCAGCACAGCCTAACGGGAAGACTCAGGCGTTGGGTTTGTGGCCACTTTGCCAGTCCCTCTGTCAACTGACCCTGAAAGCTTGGAGTGAGAACCTCTTGCCTGTTGGCTGATTGCGTGTCTAGTGCAAGACTGGAGCCCTCCATGAACGGTGAACTGGAGAGAGCTGCCAGTAGTCTTGAGTGCTTGCCATGGCCCGGGCCCTGTGCTGAGCACATTGTAAGCAGGAGCTCACTGAGGCCTCCCACCCAGCCTCGGAGCTGCGTGCGCTTACCCATTTCACAGAAGCATGAACTGAGGCCTAGAGAGGCTGGGTGACACGGGTCAGTGCGTGGAGCCAGGGCCCTACGCCCAGGTTCTTCCCCTCAAGCTGGCCGCTGCCTCAGCTGGGTCCCGGGGATCCTAGGCCCAGGGATTCATCTCTGAGTTGCACGCCGAGGGCAGGCTGGACCCATGCCCTCCTCCAGGGCCGGCCTTTCCTAGAGGGGGCTGCAGAGCCCAGAGACTGCAGCTACCCCTGGGCTCCTGCCCAGCACCAAGGTCCAAACCCCTGACCCTGGTCCCTTTGCCTTCTTTCTTCTCTTGTGTGTTTTTGTTTATTTATTCTCACTTTATTTGAAAGACAGAGAAACAAAGATTTCCAGTCCACTGGTTCACTCCCCAAATGCCCACAACAGCCAGGACTGGATCAGGCTGAAGCCTGGAGCCTGGAACTCCATCTGGGCCTCTTATGTGGGTGGCAGGGACACAGTGCTTGAGCCATCCTCGGCTGCCCCCAGGGTGCGCATTAGCAGGGAGCTGGTTCTGAAGCAGAGGAGCCGGGAGACCAGCACTCTGTTGATTTCCCAAGCTGGCATCCCAAGTAGCTTCTGACCCGCTCCTCCGATGCCTACCGCTTCCACTGCCTTCTTTCTTGGCTCCTCCCCACACCCTCACCCGCTGGTGCCCCCATGCCAGCATCAGCACCTCTCCTCGTCCTCCGCAGAGGGGACAGTCACACGAGGCAGGGGCTCGGCCTCCTGCCTCAGCCCCCTCCTCTTTTCCAAGGCCTGACCTCTGCCCCCACCCAGGAGGTACGGGGGCCCCTCCAGGGCAGCAGACACTGAGTCTCTGGTGTGCTGCGCATTGTGCCAGGCGCTTCCCTGCTGCGGTCTGCACTAAGGTGGCCGTGACTGTTATCCCATTTGACAGATTAGGAAACTGAGTTGCCCAGGGCCACACAGCTCTTCAGGGGCAGAGGTGGGATTTGTGCCAGTTGCTCGAATACAAGGGCTTTCCCCTTGGTGCACAAGACTTGTGAGGAGCTGGTGGCTGCTGTCACTGTGACACGCGCACATCTGCCTCCTCAGCTCTGTCCTCATCAACACCCACTGTCCCCAGGCATCCCAGGCCCCAGCTCCTGGCTCTGTCTGAGCCTTGGGAGGGGGCAGGAGTGAAGTTCTCAGTTCTCCGGGATCCGCTGGATCCGCTTTGCTCTTCCCTGTGGCCCAGCTCCCTCCTCCTCATAGCCAACCCAGGAGCTCCAGTTTGTCACCATTGATGTATCCACTCCCCCAGCATCCACTGAGCACCCACTGCGTGCCCAGTATCAGGAATGCAAAAACGGTTAAGACACAACTCGTGCTTTAAGGCGGGGAAAGGTGATCAGCGCCGTGCGTGCTAGGAGCGCAGAGGAGCGGCTGTGAGCTCTGCTGTCAGGGAGAGAAGGCTCCCTGTGGACCTGGCCTGTGGGCTTGGAAGAGGAGAGGAAGGCGTTGCAGGCAGGGGTGCCGGCGTGGTGGAGGCGTGCTGCTATTAAAGTGCTGCTATTGATTCTGCGTCCCTGGAGCACAGGGTGTGTGCGGTACAGGGGTGGGAGATGGGACTGAGGAAGTGAACTTGACTTTGATCCGAAAGGCCCAGGAAATAAGATTCCACCCAAAGGCTGTAGCAGAAGTGTGCTGGTGATAAACGAAGGTGGATGGGAGAGGAAGGGAGAGAAAGAGAGGGGGACAGAGAGAGAGAGACTGTAGGAAGGAGGAAGGGAGAGTGGTTAGGAACTCGTTCCAGTGGCTAGGAGAAGGAGTCTAGGTAGACGGGAGCTAGTTGGATTCATCAGCTGTTTGCCCTTCAAAATCCTGGGCACACCTGCAGCTCTGCTGGGCCACTCGTCCTGGTCAGTGAGTGAGGCACAAGGGCTGTATGCAGGGGTCCCCCCATCCCTGTTACCGTCTGAGCTGCCATTGAGCCCAGTTCTGCAGGGAGATGATGCACCAGCAAAGTGAACCAACAGCAAATCGCTCTGGACCCCCTGAGCCCTGCCCTCTGTGGTCAGAGGCAAGGGTGATGCCCCGGCCACTACTGTGGTTTTCACCCACACCAGGGCCAAGACCCGGTAACCAGGCGACCAGCCAGAGTCCCAGGAGGCACCAGGCAGAGTTGGGAGGTGAACACAGAGAATGCTCTGGGGAGCAGGGGTTTGATTTATTTGTACAAGGCTTTATTTATTCCTGCAGTGACCTAGTGAGCAGGATGGCTGGGCAGGGAGGAGCTGGGGCCTTAGAGCCAAGCTGCCAGGTTCAGATCAGGGCTGTGTTCTGGAACATTCCATGAGCTTTCTGTGGGCACCTGCTTCCCCTTCTTACCGACAGGGTCCAGATTCTCCAAGCACGGAGTGAGTGCCCTGTAAATATTATTACTTGGCAGCATTCTTCTTTGCCGACAACAGAATCCCACTACTGCTCTTTAATTGCACTCCAGCCTGTCTCCCAGGAGAGGCTTCAGTGAGCTCCCTGGAGACAGGACCGCATCTCTGTATAGCCATCGTGCCTCTGCTAATTGAGTTCATTTGCCGAAAGAATGAACCTGGAGCAACTTACAGCCTTCAAGACGCTGCCTGCCTTTATAAATACGGACCTCTGCCCGGCTTCCCAAGCCCAGCAACTCCTCTACCCCACCTCTCCATCAAGGCTCGGAGTAAGCGAGTCCTGGCAGTTGCTGGCTCACCCTGTGTTGGGACAATTTGCTAATGAGTCTGCTTCCCTCGGGACTCTGGGGTATGTGTCCCAGTGGAACTGCCCTGGGTAGGCTACAGAGCAGATGACCTGGTCAATGCCCTTGCTCCTGAGGCTGAAGCAGACAGGGGTGTGGGCAGAGAGCCCCAGGGGGAGCACGCAGGGTCCATTGGCTGCGGTCCTGCCTACAGGAGCCTGAATCCAGGTCTCAGAGCCACGTGGCTCACAGGCATTCCTTTAAGAAGGGTCGCCTGCCCTGCCTAGCTCCATGTACCAATGACTTGTCTACCTGGGAATCTGAAAATGGCCCCTAGAATCCTCAGAGGAAACCATTACTCTTTTTTAGAGTTATTTTATTTATTTGAAAGAGTGACAGCGACCAAGAGAGAAAGAGATCTTTCATCCACTGGTTCACTCCCCAGATGGATACAGGCCAAAGTCAGGAACCCTGAACTCCATCTGGGTCTCCCATGTGGGTGGCAGGGGCCCAAGCACTTGGGCCATCTTAAGAGGAAAGCATTTTAATAAAAAGTCAACATTAGGGAATACATTCAGATCAAGTTCTTTCACTGGGAACAGAGACCAAGGCCATCAGTCTGCGCAGTGGAATGACATTAAATCCCCCAGGGAGCCAACAGGCAGAAAGGGCCGAGGAACCTGCTCAGGGCTGCTTGCCTGTGAGGACCTGCACCTCCCAGCTCACTGAGGCTCCCTGCTTGTCCTGTCTCTCTGTACCCACTCTGCAGGCCTGGGGCCTGTCCCCGAACCTGTTGCCTTGTGGGAGTTGGTGTGACACCAGCCTGCTGAGACCCCTGATTCGGATGTCCCCAGGGTCAGATCTGCCTGTGCAGTTCCTGGAGCCAGTGGGGAGCTGGCTGCAGGGGATCAGGTGCACCCGGCTTTCCTGGAGGAGAGGAGGCAGGTGTGGGAAGGCAGCGAATGAACAGACAGGAGAAGGAACCCGTAGCGGGAATGATGACTAAGCCTGGCCTGGGAGGCAAAGGGCCTGGCGCTAGCTCTGTGACCTTGGACAGGTTTGATCGCCTCTCTGAGACTCAGTCTCCTTTTCCTTCCCATTGGGCTTGGGACCCAATGACACGGAGCGGAAAGGGCTATGGTGACAGGTATGGTTCCAGGGTGGCGACAGGCTGCCTGGCTGGGTGAGTACACAGTGGAGCCCTGGCAGTGCTAATTTACTCTCAGCTTCTACCTCCTGCTTTTTGTTTATCAGCGGGGTCTTAAGCGAGTGGTGAGATCATTGGACTCTCTCTGTGCATGCACTTTGGGGACCCCACGCTAAGCTGAGAGAATGGTGCCCCCAGTTCTCAGGCCCCACCGACTTCCCTCCAGCCAGCTACCAGCTGTCTGCGGAACTCACACTCTCTGTGTCATTGTGAGGTTTGAGCTTCACTCCCATTTTACAGATAAGCAAACAGGGGCTTCTCTAAGTAAGGGAGCTTGCCGAGAAGCCTGCGCATACGCACTCCAGAACCCACATTCCCCCCACTTCTCCCCGTGCAGTGTCCGTCTCCCCGTGCAGTGTCCGTCTCCAGCCCCGTCCCCTCCCTCCACCTCCACTGCCCCAGTTCTTCTCACCCATCAGGACCCCTCCCAACTGTGAATTTGTCTGCCAGCTCTCCCTTATTTTCGTAGATTTCCTCGTCCTCCAAACTACTCTTTTAAATCACATTTTTCTCTGCTTCCCCAAGGATGCCCATTGAACTTGAAAAAATACACCTGCATACAGGAGATGAAACCACCTGGTGTCCTGCCACCGGAAGCTTCCGGTCTTTTCTCTGTGCGTTTGTGCCTGTGTGTACTTCCCAGACAAGTTCTCTAATGCCCTGTGGGTCCCACTTCCCTTTTGGCTCCTACAACTTTCTGACTTCTTTACCTGTCCGATTCGCTCTACCGGGCTGTGAGCCCCTGCAGGGCAGGCTCTGTGCCCTGATGCAGGTTGCTGCACAGGTGCCCGGCTCCTAGCTGGCTGGCTGGAACGTTGTGAGATTGGAGAACTGGGGGGAATGGTCCCTTTGACCCAGTGCTTGGTCTGAAAAGTGCAGGCAGAGGAAGAATGAAATGCTCTCACCACCCATTTAAGAACTCAGCACTCACTTGAGAGGAGAGTTATCCCATTTGTTCCAGTTATGCCTGCCAGTTATTCCATTGTTCACTTTTCTGCTTAAGCAGACGCACACAGCCTGGAAAGAGAGTATGAACCAGTTTCACACCCCAGGTTCCCTGCTTCCTGGTGCTGTCATATCAGGTGGTTATGCAAACCCTGAGCCTCGGTTTCCCCCTCTGTAAAGTGAGGGAGGGTGGTAAGAAGGAGATGGGAGTGCAGGCAACTTTGCATAGTGTTAGTTCTCTTCCTTCCTTCTTCCTGAATGATTGCTGTGTGGATCCACAGCCTCCATCTGTTACAGATCTGTCCTGTGCGGAGCACCATGGGGGCCGAAAAGGACAGCCTGCCAGCCTTGACATGCCCTGGGGTGACAGGCCTACCCTACCCAGGAGCTCATTAGGGAGCAAGGTGGTCCATTAGGAGGGCAATCGGGGTGCACCAGAGTTAGGGCCGGCTGCAGCCTTGTTGTCCGGTAGCCACGGAGGCTCGGAGGCTGGAATAACAGCTTGGCTACCCTGGAAGCAGTCAAGGCAGGAGGTCTCCAGAGACACGCTTATCGGGCTGTGGCCACAGAGCTGGAATTTGTCAGCCTCAGGGTTTTATCTGTCTCATGTTACCAGCTTGTCTGTAAATTGTAAATTGCAGCAATCTGGTGGCTGATGAATGCGAGCTGCTGATGGGTTGAGAGAAGGAAGCAGCGAGACCGCAAAGATCAGAGAACGGGAACGCAGGGGCCTGGCAACCACACATCCCCTGGGCTCTCTGCATCCAGCCCTCCTGCTCAGCAGGAGGGGGATCTCATCAGGCTTCTCCCTGTCCCTGGTGTTGCCCGGACAGGAAGGATGCATCCTCTGCACTGTGGCGACGTGGGGAGCCGCAGGGAAGTCACGCAGCTTGAACGTCCGGAACATGAAGCTTTGGAGGCAGATCTGTTTGCTCTGCTACTTGCTGGCTGTGTGACTTTGGGCAAATGACTTAACCTTTCTGTGCCTCACTTGCTTTGTAAAGAGAGGACAATCAAAATAAACCTTCATGTACTTAAACTTAAAAAGAGATAACCCCGTGCCAGTCTTGCCTCAGAGCTTAGGAAGTTCCGTAACTGCTGGCTGTTTTCACTGTGATGAAAATAAGATCCGCAGTCTCACCCAGTGCCCCACCACCACCGTGTGCATGTCAGGAGCACACATTTCACTGGCTTCTGGAAGGTGGTGGCCCGGGGGCAGGGGAAGGAGCGCTGGCAAAGTTGGAACACAATTCAGGTCACCTCGCCTGGTATTTTCCAAAGATGTCCCTACTGTAAGTGCGGGATGCAGTCCATAGCACTCTATTCATGCCCGGGTGAGTTAACAGGAACCTGATCCACAAAAGGTAAGACTGATCTTAACCACATCAGCACACACAGGCGTTTTCTGCCCCTGTTTCAGTGCTGGGCAACGACTCACCCCATTATTGGGCAGTGTGTGAAATGATCGTGACCCTGGGAGAGCCACTTTCCCTCTCTGAGTTCAGCTTTCCCCGCAACAAAGCAACACTGGTGCCCCAGCAGCCTCACTGCTGCTCTGCCTCAGGGCCTCTTAGAGCACTTGGAGGGCGCCTGGCCAGGTGCTGTGGGGGGAAGGGGGCTGAGAGGAATAGTTCCTGCCCCAAGGAAGCCGCTGGAGATCAGGGGTGGTGTGAGGAAGGGAGGGGTGGGGATCGCTTCTTTCTCATGGCAAGACAATGAGACGGGCAGTGAGGGCTCCTGATCATTCTCCCTTGTATCCCAGCAGCCTTCCTGACAGCGAGACGGGAGATGACCACAGGTACGGCTTGGGGCTGGGTTAGCAGTGAGTCCCGGGGGGGGGGGGGGGCTGCTACTGCATGGCGGGGGATGGGGGGAGGGTGATGAACCTGTTCTGGAGCTAGATGGTAGTGATGGCCACACAGCCTGTGAATGCATTAAAAACTCCTGAACTGTAAAGAAACTGTGTCAGAGAAAGGATGATTAGAAAATATATTAAAATGGCTTTGGGGAAGACTCTAAGAGGCTAAGAAACAAGACAGTCAGAAGAGGAGGGAGGTGCCCCTCAGGCCGCACAGAGAATTGGCTTTGCTGCTTTGTTCAATGCACAAGCCTAAAAGCACCAGCGACTTGGCTTGATGAGGCTCTGAATATCCTCCTGCCCTCGTAGCTCCAAGGACGGCACAGAGACCCCGGGCAGCGAGCAGTCAGGACTGCTAGGGCTGGTTGGCTCTTGTAAATAGGTCTGACCGCCACCATCCCTGTCCCCCCCCACTTCCTCTCCAACACCAAACATGCCCCACCTCCCGGTGTTCTCTCTGCCCTTTCTTGCACCTTGTCCCCAAGTGCCGGGGTGTGATGACAGCCCGGCCTGGCGAGTCACAGTGACAGGGTTTCTCGAGGCAAAAATCAGGCATGGCATGTGACGAATGCGAGGCTGGGCTATGAGAACAAAGTGACAGGACATTTGACACTTGGGCAGCTCAGGGCCGCCCAGGGCACCTGGGCCCCACGGCTCACATGGCCTCCCTGGCAGAAGCCTCAGATGCCACTGTTGCCTTCTGATGGGGCCACAGTGCGTGCAGCTGCAGATCTCGCCCGGAGCCCTTCTCGGCTCTGTCAGCTGGGAGTTCCCAACCACCAAGCGCAGGTGCTGCTGTCAGCCCAGCCCGGCCTGGGAGCACTCCCTGCCCCAGCCACAGTGCGGCTCTGTCTGCCAGAGACCCTCCTCTGAGCCCACGTGCAGAGGCTGGGCCAGACAGGACCACTTACTGGGCCTTATCTTCCTCTGACCCAGCAGACCCCCCCACCCCACTCAGAGCCTGCACAAGGGTGACTTGCTCCCTCTGTCCCTCTCAGGCAGGACCCTGGGCCTCCTCACACACCCACAGCCAGCCACACCCTCCCCACACCTCTCTGTGCAGCCTTTGTGGCTGTGGACTTGGCCGCAGGGATGATAAAGGTCCATTCGAGTCAGGTGGGGACTGAGGGAGCTCCAGATCTTTGTGCAGGACGCCCTTCTTGGGGGACTCTGACGTGTGTCTTTCCTCCCTGCTGCAGCCCAGAGCGGGAGAACGCGGCCGTCTCGGATGTCAGGTACCAGGTGCTGGGAGAACTGCCCATGTGACCCTGGAGGATGGCCCCGGCCCCCAGCCCCTGGGGTGCTGGGGAGGATCCCTGTCAGGCAGCTGGTGGCTTCTGTCCATTTAGCTGCTCCCTGCCCCTAGATCAGTGTGGGGTCAGGGGTCCTAAAGACATCAGGCTGACGTCCATGGCTCCGCTTCGTACAAACGTGCTCCTCCATGGTGGGGGGAAGTTCTGGACACCTCAGCAGGAAGAGAGGCGGGTCACGTGAGCCCCTGGCTGGGCACACTCTGCGCTCCCCGCTGGCTGTCTGGGCCAGGCCCCCCAAAAGTGGCTCAGGCCCTGGTGGGGAGGGGAGGAGACCACCAGAAGTCGCACACGGCAGATTTCAGCCAACACCACCACCTCCCATCTGGGCACTGCCCCCAACCCCTTGCGCTGGTCTAACGCTCTGCTGGACGACTGCCTCTGAGGATGAGCCCCCCAGGAGGCCCCCACCACCCCGCCCCGTTCTTTCCAGGAAGAGAGGCCCTGTGGCCTATGCGTCTCAGAAGCCATGGCTGCTGAACGCCACGGTGGAGGAGAACATCACCTTCGAGAGCCCCTTCAACAAGCAGCGGTAAAAGCCTGCGGGAGGGAGGCGGGTGGGGGGAGGGGAGGCCTGAGCCTCAGCGCATAGCCCTGCCCCTCCCCCCTCCCCCATACCCTGCTTTCCAGGCTGCTGCTCTCCAGCCAACTCCATATGGTCCATCTGGAGAGGCTCCAGTGGTGGGGGCGGGGCAGGAGGCGGGCTCGAGGGTGGATCCGCTCTCTCCAGGGCGTCCCATTCTTGCAGTTCCCACCCCAGTTCCAAGATGTGGGCGCTGTTTTCTCTCCAGAGATAGCAAGAGCCAGCATCGACTGAGCTCTTAGCAGGTGCCAGGCAGCGCGCTGAGCCCTGTGTACCTGTGTTCCTCTAATGCTCAAAACCGCCGCCGCTGGCACCTGCTGTTGTCCCCACTTTACAGATGAGGAAGCCAAGGCTCAGAAAGATTAGGTAGAAGTGGATATTTGTGGTTAAGACGCGACTTGGGACACGTGCATTCCATGTTGGGATACCTGAGTTTAAGTCCCAGCTCTGCTGCTAATTCCAGCTTCCTCCTGGTGTGCACCCTGGGAGGCAGCATGATGGCCCAAGTAGTTGAGTCCCTGCCTCTTCTCAGCTCCTAGCTACGGCCTGGCCCAGCCCTGCCCCAACTGTTACATATATTTGGGGAGTGAACCAGCAGATGGGAGATCTCTATCAGTCTCTCTGCTATGCAAATGAATTAAATATATAAAAATTTAGGGTAAAAAAAAAAAAGGTTAGGTACTTGCCCAAGTCCGTCTACAGCCAGTAAGTGACCACAACGGATCTCAAATCCAAAAGTGGCCAACAGACTCCTCAGTACAGCTTATCACCAAGACACTCAGGTGCTTCCATGGACCCTGGCTGGCTTCCACCCAGGTGACCGGGCTGGCCAAGAGTTATAGGCTGGGCAAATATTTGCCCAGCCATCATCATTACTGCCACAAGCAGCCAGCGGTCATTTTCCCAGGTGGCAGCCGCCTGAGCACGGGCTCTGGCTGCAGCTTTTCCCACCACCCCGAGGCCATGGGTCCCCTCTGGGCACTTACTCAGCATATCTGCTCCCATCCAATTTCATCCTTCAAATATTTAACCTTCCCCACAGTTGTGGGAGGTGCCGACCTCAGCTCTTTCCAAGCTCACGTGGTGTTTGCTTGTACCCAAGCGGGAGGCCCATTGAAGCCAATGTCGCCCTGGGCACAGGTCCCCAGATGCTAAGGATCGACCCTCTGCAAGTGCTCAGGCCCAGGTCTGGCCAGGCTGACGGGCTGCCTCCCCCGCCTCCACCTGCTCCAGGTACAAGATGGTCATCGAAGCCTGCTCGCTGCAGCCAGACATCGACATCCTGCCCCACGGAGACCAGACCCAGATTGGGGAGCGGGTTAGTACAGGCTTGGGTTACTCCTGTCCGTTCTCCAGGGACCCCCTCTGTAAGCGTGGACAACCAGGATTCTCCCGTGACCACCCTCCTCGTGGGTGATTTAACGCCCACTTCCTCTGCCTTGGTGTGCGCTGGTCAGATGGTCCCTGTTACCTGCATGATGACTCTTCAACGACTTGGGGACCATGCCTTTTCTGCATGAATGGATTTGGTAGACATGTACAGGTTTTCTCCGTCCACATGGCTAGAGCCAGGCCTCCGTCCCATGAGCTCACCCTCTGGGAGGGGCCAGGATGGTCTGTCCTGAGTCGCTGTTCCTCCTCCTTGGTGACAGGGCATCAACCTGTCTGGTGGTCAGCGCCAGCGAATCAGTGTGGCCCGTGCGCTCTACCAGCACACCCACGTCGTCTTCTTGGTGAGTGCACCAGTGGGCACCTCCCCTGGGGCTCTGGTCTCTGACCACCTCCCTGGCCTTCTGCCCACACACACCCAGATACCCAGAATCTGTCACCCATCGACCATCACCAGGAGCAAACCACTCCTACCGGAGACATGTCCTGCTCGTCTTTCCATAGGGTGGCCAGTGCAAGCAAGAATAGCACAGATGAGCCCTTGCAGAACTCACTCTGAGCTCTGTAGTAGCCAGGAAGGGAGACAAGTAGTGCCAGGCCGCCTCTCTCTGACAGCTGCGACCTATCAGCACTTATACAGCCTGGTCACCGGGATGGCAAGTATTTGTAATTCATGCTGCTGCTTCCCATTTTATACCCAAAGCAGACATTACTAATTGATCATGGTATTATTTCCCATGGAACCCAGAATCCTTCTCTAGAGAATCTTACAAGTTATCAAACATGAGATGAAACTTGTTGGATATCCCTGCCCTTCTTGATGCCACGCTCTGTGTCAGTACCTTGGTTGTTACTGAAAACTGCTAAGACTCGGCCTTTGGCCTCAAAAACTGAGAGTTTGATTAGGGAGAAAAGACTCACCCATACTCAGGAGGCACAGTCAAGTTCAAAGCCAAACCATGCAGCACAGACTATGGGGGACCTTGTCCAGGGAGATGACTGTGAGGGCTGGAGTAATCAGGGGGAGCTTCCTGGAGGAGAGCCTTGGTGAGTCCATTAAACAGAAGGGAAGAGGGAGGCCATTTGGACAGGGAGTTGGAAGAATGAAACTCAGATCTCTGATCTCAGCTTTATTCTCTCCTCCCTCCCCACAACACACACACACACACACATGAGCACTCCTGCTGTCCAAGGCCACACAGCCGGCTGGCGTCAGTCCCAAAAGCAGAGCTGCTGTAACACTGACAGGTTGCCCACTCATTGTGACCCCTCCCCTCACACCTGCCCCTGTCCTCCCGCCCTGGGCAGGATGACCCCTTCTCGGCTCTGGACGTCCACCTGAGCGACCACCTGATGCAGGCGGGGATCCTGGAGCTGCTTCGGGACGACAACAGGACGGTGGTGCTGGTGACCCACAAGCTGCAGTACCTGCCCCATGCCGACTGGGTGAGAGGCTAGATGGGGGTGCGGAGGCAGTGAGAGAGGCAGGCAGGCAGGGACCAGTCAGGTGTCTCCGTAGCTGCAGCGCTATGAACCCCCACGCTGCCTCAACCCCATGCTCTATGGGAGCTAGAACGTCACTACTTTTCCATTAATCATGTTAATTTTTAAGATAGTGATGCTGTGACTTTCTATGCGTAAGTGCTTCCCATTCCTCTAGAAATTCTGTTGGAAGCAGCAGCCAAAATGTGATGCCCTCTCTGAGCTGCAGGCCTGTGTCCTGCCCCCCCACCCCCACCAAAGGAGTCTTCCTTCCGTGTGTGATGAGACCCTCCTCTACTCTGAAAACCAAGGAGATTCCAGATTTTTTTTTTTCAAAGTTACTAGAACAGGTGCAGAATGTAGTGACCTTGGCAAGGTCGTTCAGGGCAATCCCGACACTGAGGTGCCTGCTTCTTTGGGGTATCAGGGAGCAGGACTCCCGGGCATCCTCTGTATACCCCAGGATGGGGTGGGCTGGGGAGAGGGGAGCAGAGGTGGGTGTCCACTAATGGCAAGCCCACATGGTGGTATCACTGAGTGTTTCCAGTGGACAGCTCTGTTGGTTTGGAAGAGGCGTGATCACACAGACAGACCAGCCGGCGCTTTGCCGACCACTGGTGGGATCTAAGAGAGCCGCCATCGGGAGCAGCCCAGGGTGGCCTGAAGTGGCCCATCAAGTGTACACAATGGCCGCTGGTGGCTCCTGGTGGCTGAGCCGTCAGCTTGACCAGGATGCACTCATTTGCTTTGCAACCTGACCACTGAGATCTACCCTGGGTTGTGCCAAACTTGAAGTCCTGGGAGCCTGTGGGTGAGGGGTTCTCACGAAGGCCCCACTGCCATGGACGAGCCAGAGGCCGTTTCTGGAGGAGGAAGGGGATGTTCACCTCCAGCTCAGACTCGTGGTCAGGCCTGGGTGCGACTGCCACGCTTGCCCCCCAGCCAGCCCCCAAGCCGGGTATGTTTCTGCCTTTGCAGATCATAGCTATGAAGGACGGCACCATCCAGAGGGAGGGGACCCTCAAGGACTTCCAGAGGTCTGAGTGCCAGCTCTTTGAGCACTGGAAGACCCTCATGAACCGGCAGGACCAAGAGCTGGAGAAGGTGAGTCCGCCGGGGGCCAGGCGGCCTCCCGGGATGAGAGGGCCCTGCGGGAAGCTGCGCTTGGGAAGGCCTTCCTGTCCCAGGCAGCCCTCTGAGGACAGGTGTGGGAGTGGGTTGTGAACTTGCTCCTACCACAAAGAAGCCCGAATCTGTGCCAGGCACCCAGGGCAGAATCAGCTGGGCACCTTTCTCTTATCCAGAGAGAGAGAGCATTTAGTTGCAAAGTTCTAGAAAACCAACTCAAACTGGGTAAGCAAAAAAAAAAAAAAAAAAAATTGGGGAGCCAAGAGGCCCGACTGCATCCTAGCTTCAAGTGTCACTGGATCCAGGTGGTCACACCGTGCCATCAGCCACTCTGGCTCCCCATCTCCTGCCTCTGCTCCCCGCAGATTGGCTTCCTTCTCCTGGCGATGGTGAGGGCCAGCAGCAGTCTCAGGTTCACATCTCCCTGCTCAAGACACTGCCACAAAGAGGGCGCTTCTGTCACGGTGGTTCAGCAGAGTCCCAGGGCTGACTCCCCTTGGTACAAAGAGGTCATGAGCCCATCCCTGAGCAAATCATGGGGCCCAGGGATGTAGAATGTGAGGTTTGGCCAGTCCTGGGTCACGTGCCCACCTGTGGAGTGAGGATTGGCCAGTCCTGGGTCACTTGCCCACCCGTGGAGTGAGGATTGGCCAGTTTTGGGTCATGTGCCCGCCCATGGAGCTAGTCCCACCTGAATCACAGAGACTACAAATATGGGAGAGGTAGCTCCTTACAGGGACCTTGGAGCACTTCTGGCTGATGAAGATGAAGGAGTAAATCCTGGCAAAATGAATGCACGTCCATCTGGAACATCTCCCAAGCAGGAGGGACTGGAAACCTAACACTGGGCATCCCTGAAGGTGGCCGGACCCCGTCTGTCTTTCAGGAGACCGTCATGGAGAGAAAAGCCACGGAGCCATCGCAGGGCCTGCCCCGGGCCATGTCCTCCAGAGACGGCCTTCTGCAGGATGAGGAAGACGAAGAAGGTACAGACAGCGGGACCGAAATGACGGCCCAAGGTCCCATCGCATGGGGGGAGACCTAAGGCTAGGGGTTCTGGCTGAGGTCACGGGCCTCAGTTTCCCCGTCTGTAAGTGGGGGTGATGTGCCCCGTGGTTCACCCTCAGAGGGCTGTGAAGCGTGACGCTGCGGGGTGGGTTCTCGGGGCCTGCAGAGGAGGTGGCCGAGAGCGAGGAGGACGACAGCCTGTCCTCGGTGCTGCACCAGCGCGCCAAGATCCCGTGGCAGGCCTGTGCCAAGTACCTGTCCTCGGCCGGCGTCCTCCTCCTCTCGCTGCTAGTCTTCTCCCAGCTGCTCAAGCACATGGTCTTGGTGGCCATCGACTACTGGCTGGCCAAGTGGACAGACAGTGCCCTGACCCTGAACCCGACGGCCAGGAACTGCTCCCTCAGCCAGGTGCGGCCTGCAGCCCCCGCAGCAGGGAGCAGGGTGGGGCTGGGGGAGAGGGCTGAGCCCGCAGGCACCCGGGACCCCCTGGTTCTCTTCCCACCCAGGAGTGCACCCTGGACCAGACTGTCTACGCCATGGTGTTCACGGTGCTCTGCAGCCTGGGCATCGTGCTGTGCCTCGTCACCTCTGTCACCGTGGAGTGGACGGGGCTGAAGGTGGCCAAGAGGCTGCACCGCAGCCTGCTCAACCAGATCATCCTGGCTCCCATGAGGTACCTCGTCTCCCTCGGCCAGCCTGCAGCTTCTGCAGCTGGGAACACGGTGACCCGGCCCCTCGTCGATGCCAGACCTCGCCACCTGGCTGCACCCTACTTCGCAGCTCCGTGAGCTCTCTGTGGCCTCCACACTTCCTTCCCCTTCTGTCTGCCCCCCAGTCTGTGGTTCTGAGACCCTCTGCTTGGGGGTGGGCTGACTTTGGGTCACCGCGGGAAAGCTAACAGCCAAGGTGGCCCGGCAGGGTTGGCCAGTGGGAGGCCATCTGTCTGGAGGGGACTCTGTGTCCCGGAGTGGGTCAGGCCCAGCGGGCAGCCGAGGCAGTGGCAGTGGTCACAGGTGGGGCCTGAGAGTCAGCGAGCCAGCGAGAGGCCAGCCTGTCGCTCATCTTTGCACAGCTGCAGGAACTCTCGGGGACGCAGGCCAGGTGTCTGCTGACCCGCGGAGGCAGCTGCTCCCAGGAAGCCGGGCCCGGGGCTGGCCCCCGAGACGCTGAGTGAAGGATACTGTGCTCACTCAGTCAGTACGCAGAGGAGGAACTCCTCTTCTGCTTGCATCTTAGGTTTTTTGAGACCACGCCCCTGGGGAGCATCCTGAACAGATTTTCGTCTGACTGTAACACCATCGACCAGGTACAGAGCACCGTGCCACATCTGCGCTGGGCTGGAGGGGCCAGGCAGGCCCTGGGGGCTTCTCCTCTCAGATGCTGGGGTCCCTGGGGCAGGTGATCAGAGCCCCATTAAAGGAACTGGGGGCCCCTATCAGCTTGGTTTTTTTTTTTTTTTGATTTATTTTATTTATTTTAAAGGCAGAGTTAGAGGGAGAGACAGAGAGAGAAAGGTCTTCCATCCACTGGTTCACTCCCCAAATGGCCACAATGGCCAGGGGTAGGCCAGGCTGAACTCAGGAGCCAAGAGCTTCATCCAGGTCTCCCGTATAGGTATCAGGAGCCCAAGGACTTGGGCCACTCTCTCCTGCTTTCCCAGGTGCATTAGCAGGGAGCTGGATGGGAAGTGGAGCAGCCAGGCCTAGAACCAGTGCCCAAATGGGATGCCAGCGCTGCAGGTGTTGGCTTAACCTGCTGTGCCACAGCGCTGCCCACCGGCCCCCATCAGCTGCCTAAGGGCCTGGAGCCACCCCATGAGACCTACAGAATAAGGGGGAGATAGCCAGGCCCATCCCCCACAGGCTGGTGCTAGGAGGTCTCCGCTCTCCTGCACCTGGATGGCAGACCGGGTGGGGAACGTGCTTTCCGACCCAGTCTGTGTTCCCTGTCCACCACCAGCCTAGATGATGAGAAAACAGAGGCGTGATTCCTGCCTGCAGGGAGCTCATTGCATAGCTAGAGATGCGTATTGTATAGCCTGAGGTGTGTGGGGCAGGTGTGGGGCAGGTGACGATCAAACACCAAAGCTCACCTGGCGCTCTCCCCCCCCCCGCCTCCCGCAGCACATCCCCTCCACGCTGGAGTGCCTGAGCCGCTCCACCCTGCTCTGCGTCTCAGCCCTGGCTGTCATCTCCTACGTCACACCTGTGTTCCTCGTGGCCCTCCTGCCCCTGGCCGTCGTGTGCTACTTCATCCAGAAGTACTTCCGGGTGGCGTCCAGGTGACGGCAGTGTCTGCCAGCCTCCGTGGTGGGGGGAGGGGCGCTCTGCAGTGGACAGCTTGGCTCACTTACTAGAACAGTTGTGACCGCGGTAGAGTCCCACTCCCCTGATACCCGTACCTCACCGCCCTGATACACCCACGTGTCAGCGCACACACACGCGGCCGTGTCTGAATCATCTCGGGAGCATCGTCGGGGAAGGTGCTAGGTCAGAGACCAGGCCCAGGCCTGAGCCCGTCATTCATTTTGCCAAAGTGTTCACCGGGGCATGGGTGCAGAGCAGGGCTGGGTGCCTGGACCAGAGAGAGCCTCTCCCTGCCATCCCCACCGACCGGCCGCATTTGCCCTCGTGAGCCCTGGAGCCATGCACACTGCTTTCCCGCTCAGAGCGTCCTCAGAACCTTCTCTGACAGGCCCTTTAGGGAGGGATGCTGTGAGACTAACAGATTCAAAACTTGCAGGGGAAATTTAGGCCAATGTTTCTCAAACTCCCAATCACTGCCCATCGATGGTGTGAAGTCATGTCATGGATCACAATCAGCATCCCTTTTATTTGAAAGGCAGAGTGACAGAGAGAGAAAGAGGGAGAAATGTCACTCCCCGTCTTCGTGGAGGAACGACACAGGACCCTGCGCTGTTCTTTTGTCTGCTCGGCCCTCCCCGGGTTTGCTGCTGGTTCTTCCCGGGTTGGCTACCGTCCCTCCACCTCCGTGGAGGGGCGGGCCCCCTGCCACTTTTCCCACTTCCGCGGGGGAGCGGCACACCGCCGGCCGGCTCTCTCGGGGGCTGCACAGGTGTTCCTTCAGATAGATGTTCCTGGTGCATGTTGTCTCTCTCCTCCTTTATAGTCCTCTTCCACCAATCCCAACTCTGCTACCCACACGCCGAGTACGCTGCTCTCCTCCAATCAGGAGCAGGTCCTGCTGTTTATTGGTTGAACTGGAGGCAGCTGTGTAGAAGTTGTTACTCCCTTCTCAGTGCCATATTGTGGGAGAGCAGATGCATAGAATAAGTCTTAATTCCAGTAACTTAGTCTAGTCCGAGTTGCTCCCCACAGAGAAACACACACACACACAGTTTCCAACTGCTGGTTCTCAACACAGTGACAGGTGCCTGTGGAACACTGCATGAGCTGCCCCACACAGTCCATTTCTTCTCCCTGGTCCTCTGGCCCTGGAGATGGTTGGTCCAGAAAAGCTGCTTCCTGCATCCCAGCCTGGCCTCCTGGACGCCGGCACTCCTGTCAGCATGCACCTGTAGGAGACAGGAGGCCGTTCTGTTGCCATGGAAACTTCTGGCCACTCCTCCCTTGAGAGGCTGTTTAGGTCCCCTCCAGTGATGTGCTGAAACCTATTGCAGTTATTGGGGAAGGAGGCGCTGAAAGGGCTGAGTCTCGGGTTCAGGTTGCTCTCTGGAAGATGGGACTCCACTGCCTGCCCAGCCTCAGCTCCGCAGGGGGCCTGTGCAGCAGGTGCGCAGGTGTGCAGGTGCACACGTGCGCAGACACAAGCCTAGACATGGCCCCAGCAACGCCCAGGCTGACAGCACCTGCGCCTTCAGGGCAGTGTTGAAGCCCATGGCACACGCGATCTGAAGCAACAGTGTTATGGGAGCTGCTGTTGTCTCCCTTTCTCTGAGGCCTAGAGTGGTGAAGCCATTTGCCCACGCACTAGCGATGGGTCGAGCTAGGTTTAGGCTTGGGCTGGGCCCTGAGCCTGTGCCCTTAATCGTTGCTCTCTGTCCCCTGCACAGGGACCTGCAGCAGCTGGATGACACCACCCAGCTCCCGCTGCTCTCTCACTTTGCGGAAACCGTGGAGGGCCTCACCACCATCCGGGCCTTCAGGTACCAGTCACATTCCCCCCAGGCTAGGTGTGGCATGGGGGTGGGGCCAGGTCACAGGTCACAAGAGTCACCTCTCAGGGTCCCTCCTCAGGCCCCAAGGCGATGTCCACCAGCTGGGCCAGGCCAGGTGGGCACCGGCTGTATCATCCAGAGAGGAGCTCTCCAGCCTTGCAGACAAGCCCAGGGTGTCTGTGAGCTAAGGCACAACATGAAAAGGAAGAAGGCTGGGACGAGGCTTCGAGTATCGATGCTAGAAAATTCTAGATCACCTGGGTCAGCCTGAGGCCTCCTTCCATCAAGTCCATCACGCTGAGCACCCTGAGTGCTACTCTCATTCATTCTTCATGGTGCCCCTGGGTGGTGAGCATGCCTGTTCCCAGTGCACAGATAAGGAAACTGAGGCACAGAGAGACTGTAGAACTTTCTGAGTAAGGTCCCACAAAGCTCAGACAGGAACCTACCGGCTCATTCACCAGTCATTCTCTGAGCACTCACCATCGCTTCCACGCCAGGCACTGAAAACTGAGTCGGTGAGCCACTTCCCTGGAGGCATTCATAGGCCGGACTTCGAGCAGGCCAGGACACACCCTGGGACAGGAGCAGGGCTGTGGGAGCACAGAACGGAGACAGTCATGGAGGGCTTCCTGCAAGAGGCACCGTCAGACCTTAGACTCAAAGGATGGCTAAATGTTCGCCAGGTTGGAATAGTTTCCCAAAGACATCAGTGTTCTGCCATCTGCCCGCCACGCTGCTCAGTGACATTGGGCAGGACTGGAGTGTCGTGGCTGCCTGGGGGGTGAGGAGGTGCTGCTGCCCCAGGCAGGGTAGGATGGGAGCGCCTGGGTCTTTGGGCACGACTCCTCCAGCCACGCGGGCCAGAGACCCCTGGCTCAGAGAGTTGGGCTCTGGTGTCTGAGCCTCACCCAGCGAGTGATAATGGGCTATTTTTAGGATGGTACAGCTGCGAGGGGTGTGACAATTACATGTGACACCAAGCCCTGGGTCCAGGAGTGACCTTAGGACTGCAGGACCAGCCAAGGGCCCTGAGAGGCTGGCATCTCCTCCGCTAACCCCTGAAGTCCAGTATCAGTCCCGGGAGGTGCCAGGCCCTGGTGCAACGCTGTACTCAGTGCTCACTCCCCGGGGCTGCTGGGAGATGCCCTCCTAGGGGTCGTGTGGGAGTGAAGCAAAGCGGAGCCGAGCCGAGCTCCCCCTGGCCTTGGCTCTGGCCCCTGTACTTCCCCTGGCCCCGTGCAAGCCCCTGGAGTCCCCCAGCCTCCTGTGCTCCAGCCTGGACTTCCCCAGTGCCTCTCACTTCCCGATCCCCAGACACCCCAGGCCCAGCCTCTGCCCTAGGTCTTGGTGATGTGCCACTCACAGTTGGTATCCCAGAGGGCTCCAGGCTGAGACGGGGGCAGGGAGCCAGACCCTCTCGTGGGTGGCTTCCAGCGTCCTGTCCCCTGGAGGAGCTGCTGCCCAGCCAGCCCCACCCTCCTCCCCCCATGCCGCACTGACATAACAAATGATTCTTAAATGTGACAAAAGGCTTTTTAATCCTCCCTGAGTGGATTCCGTTTCCTGGCTTTAGCCCAGCACGCGGCCCTGTTGAGAGCTAGCTGCTTTTACTGCCTGCACACGCACCACGTGCCAGGAACCCTGCTAAGTGCTGCATGTGCATCACTGCTTTTAACCCCTCCCCCCAGAGACCCCCAGGGCACGCAGAACTGAGACCCACACAGGCGGGGAACCCAGCCCAGGCCACACAGACTCTGAGAGCCAGTGCGTGCAACCCAGGCCTGTCTGACCTCCTGGACTTTCCCAGAAGGCTTCGCTCCTTCCTCCAGAGTTTCAGGAGTGCCCAGCACTGGGATCAGAGGTTGTTTCATATCAGAACTAATAATCCCATTTTGCTGATGAGGAAAACGGAGGCTCAATCCAGTCACGTAACATGGGTTTGCACAGCTCCAAAGCTGGGACTCCCTGCCCACCCATGGCAGGAGCTCCCCTCTCACACGGTCATCCTGCAGGGCCCCTCGCACACACGTGCTCACACACCCACATCCTCAACACAACTGCTGATACCCTTCAGATGTACAATCCTACACTTGCCTCTGACACATCACCCACTCGCCCAGAGCCACTCCACGGCTGTGCAATCACACGCTCTCTCACAGCCCTGAGACTCACTCCAGTGTCCTCAGCCCACGCGCTCCACCCAGAAATGATCAGAGGCCAACAAGCACTTCCCAGAAGGGAAAAGCAAATACCCAACAAGATACCTCTTGGGTCCCTCTGAGTCCCTTGAGTTTGGTCTTCATTAGACTGGTGGTGACAAGACAGCTTTTCTTTTTATTTTTTTAAAGATAAATTTATTTATTCGAGAAGCAGAGTTACAAACAGAGAGAAAGGTCCTCCATCTGCTGTTCACTTCCCACACGGCCGCAACAGCCAGAGCTGGGCTGACCCGAAGCCAGGAGCCAGGAGCTTCCTCTGGGTCTCCCACATGGGTACAGGGGCCCAAGCACTTGAACCATCTTCCACTGCTTTCCCAGGCCATCAGCACGGATGCTGGATCAGAATGAGCAGCCAGGATGCAAACCGGCGCCCGTATGGGATGCTGGCACTGCAGGTGGATTCTTAACCTACTACGCCACAGCACCGGCCCCTGAGGCAGCTTTTCATCCATCCCTTCGGGCATCACCCAAAAGCATCCCCACCACCACCTGCCAGCCCATGCCAGCAAGGTCTGAGAGAGGCGGGCAAGGAGTCTAGGCTGGTCAGAGAGAGGAGGCAGGTCCCTGCACTGTAACACAGGGGAGAACGTGACAAGGACATGAGAGTGGGAAAGAAACCTACAAAGTTCTTTGCATAGAAACGTCTCATCTACCATAGGGGGTCAGGAGCTTCTATTTATTCAACAAATACTTACTGACAGTGCAGGGTGCACAAAATGGACCTGGTTTCTGTTGTCATGGATTTTCCAGGGAAGGGGATGGTTGATAAAGAGCTAGAGAAATGAATATACAAGCAGACACTCTGAAGCAAGCATATTACAAAGATAGAGGGTGATGGGGGTGGGTAAGGGAGGCCAGGAAAGGCCTCTTAAGGAAGTAAGGTAGGACCTGAAAGTTGAGAAGAAGCCAGCCTTGTGAAGAGCAGAGGGAGAAAACATTCCAGGCAGAGGGGACAGCGTGTGCAAAGGTCCTGGGATGCGGAAGAACTCCATATTGTCACAAAGTTTGTAAGAGGCTGGGGCGGCTGCAGCATAGTAAGCAGGGCCACTTGAGGCAGAGGACGAGGCTGCAGGAGCAGCTCACGGAGGCCCCTGGTGAAGAGGCAGGTCTTCATTCTACAAACGTGAGACTGTTCACGCTCTGAGCAGGACAGAGACAGAATGGGGTTCGTGATTTAGAAAGGCGATGCTGGCTGCTGTGTGAAGGGGACTTGGGGAGCCAGCAGGTGCACCTAGCAGGGAGCTGATGTGGCAGTCCAGGGGAGAGTCTGCGGTGGGCAGGAGGCAGGAGAGAGCCGGGCAGAGCAAGGACTGTTGTGGAGTAGACATCAGAGGACTTGTGGAGGAGCTGGAGGAAGGCAGGTGACCCCTGGTTTCTGGCCTGAGCAGCTGCGTGGAGAGATGGAGGCACCCTTTACTGCAACGAGGAAGACATGAGGAAGAACAGGTCCTGTGCGGGAAGCAAGAGTGTGAGGGAGACGGGACTCTTGGCAGGTCTGCGTCGTGGAAGGGAGCCAGGGGCTTCCAGAGGGGAATGGCGTGGGTAACGGGGCAGAGATGACTCGTCCCGGGTTTGCTGAGGCCCCGGGGGCCCCTCTGTAGGGCTGGAGAGTCCAGGTGTCCCATGGGCCTCCCAGAGCCTTTATTCCCCTCGCAGGTACGAGGCCCGGTTCCAGCAGAAGCTCCTGGAATACACAGACTCCAACAACATCGCCTCGCTCTTCCTCACGGCTGCCAACAGGTGGCTGGAAGTCCGCATGGCAAGTGCCACCCCAGGCCATGGGACCGGGATTCTCCCAGGGCTGCGGAGCCAGAGCCAGGGCCGATCGTGGACCAGAGGGCGGGTGCCAGGTTGTGTGCACACTGAGCCATTGCTTCTCCCAGGCCTGGTGGCCTCCCAGCGTCTTTGCCGCCTCTCACTGCCCGAGGGCTTGGCCATGCCAGGAGCCAGCATGGTTGTGTGTGCAACTGTGATGTGTATGTGTGAGGGTGGGTCCCATGACACACATATGTTGTATGCATGATGGGCCAACTGGTGAGGCACACCTGCTCAGGGGTGTGCAAGCTGCTGGAGAATGGGCATAGGCTGGCTTCCGGCGCCCCAGCCTTCAGTCTCCTGCACCTGATGATGTGTGTGTGAGTTGCAGGGCCAGGGCCAGGGCTCAGCTGAGCAGCTCTCTGCCCTGGAAGGGAGTGAGGATGGGGGGCTGTGGCTCCAGCTCCTGAGGGCCCAGACCGACTGCTTTCCCTCTGCAGGAGTACATTGGCGCGTGCGTAGTACTCATTGCGGCAGCAACCTCCATCTCCAACTCCCTGCACAGGGAGCTCTCTGCTGGCCTGGTGGGCCTGGGCCTCACCTACGCCCTCATGGTGAGTGAGCAGGAGTGGGGCAGGGAGGGGTCCTTCCCCAGCTGAGACGTGGCCCACTTCAGGCCTAGGCTCCGGCTGAACTGAGTCTGATGCCGGAGGAGCCCTACAAGCAGGGAGGCTGCCTTCAAGCCCCAGGGCCCAGACCCCAGGCTGGTGGCAGGTGACAGGCCACATCACTGTGACCCTGCAGCACGGGCGTCTGGAAGCCCTGGCCCTCCTCCGGTGTAAGAAGAGCCATCCCTAGGGGTGGGGACAGAACCCAGTGACCAACTCCCCCCAGGTCTCCAACTACCTCAACTGGATGGTGAGGAACCTGGCGGACATGGAGATCCAGCTGGGGGCTGTGAAGCGGATCCACGGGCTCCTGAAAACCGAGGCCGAGAGCTACGAGGGGCTGCTGGGTGAGGGTGCACGAGGGGGAAGGGCGCAGGGGAGGGAGGGGAGGGCACCCTGGATTCTGGCCGTGGCTGACCCCCAGCCCGGCCCCCAGCTCCCTCGCTGATACCCAAGAACTGGCCGGACCAAGGGAAGATCCAGATCCAGAACCTGAGCGTGCGCTACGACAGCTCCCTGAAGCCCGTGCTGAAGCACGTCAACGCCCTCATCTCCCCCGGACAGAAGGTCGGGGCCCCCTGCCTCCCGCCCCGCTCCCAGGCCCCAGCCGCCTTCCCCTGCCCCTCTCCTCCTGGCTCATCTCCCCACTTGTCCACCTGGGAGACGATGACCTGGACTCAGAGCGGCGTGCTCAGGGTCTCCCTCCCCGCAGGTGCTCTGCGGGTCTCCCTGGAGCACACAGCTGAGCTGCCCTTGTCCTCAGAGAGCGAGCCCGGCTGGCGCTCTTCCCCACCCCCCACAGCTCTCCTCCTGACCGCCCCAGAGCCCCATCTCCCTGACGCTGCCCTCTCCTTCCAGCTCTGTCTCTCGTTCTGTCGCTGTCTGCGACTGTCCTTCTCACTGTGGCCACATGCACTTCTGCCCTGCTCCACCCCGTCCCATCCGTCCTGTCTCTGGACTGGCCCGCTATTGTAATTTCTTGGTTTTATAATTTATTTTCCATTTATGTGAAAGAGACAGAAAGATAAATATCTCCTATCTGCTAGCACACCCCCCAAATGCCTGCAATGGCCATGACTGGGCCAGGCCAAAGCCAGGAGCAGAAATTCAATCCAGGTCTCCCCTAAGGATGGCAGAGACCCAACTGCTTGAGTCACCGCTGTTGCCTCCCAGGGTGCACGTTTCAGGAAGCTGGCACTGGAAGCAGAGCCAAGACCCAAACCCCAGCACTCTGACGTGGGATGCAGGTGTTCCAAGCAGCATCTTCGTTGCTGTGCCATATACCCACCCCCGTATTGTGATTTCTGCCAGTATCCAAGAGCTAGGAGGCAGTGCAGAGACGGCTGCAGCTTAAGCGGGGCACACAGGCACATCCCGGCATGCCACAGCTGGCCGTGCCCGTGAGCTCTCGCCACACCCATTGCTCATGGAGGCACAGCAGGCACACCCAGACCCACCCCAGTCCCCAGCCACAGGGACATCCTCACCTTACACTTCACTCTCGGGTGCCCGTGGGAGCCCCTTCTGGACTCAGTGCAGGAAACAAGCCCAAACCTGAAGCCAGCCCTGGCCAAAGAGACGCTGGGCAGAAGATGGGCACAGAGGGGGCGCTGTGGACTCCCCAGCCCACACACACACACCCCGGGGGCCAGTGCAGAGGCCTCCAAGACCCACCTGCCTCCCTCTTTCTAGATCGGCATCTGCGGCCGCACAGGCAGTGGCAAGTCCTCCTTCTCGCTGGCTTTCTTCCGCATGCTGGACATGTTCGAAGGTGAGCCGCACGGCGCGCCGCACATGGGCCCACAGCCAGCAGAGGGGACTTCAGCCTTGGCGCGTGGCCAGATGTCACTGCCTTCCTGTGCGTCCTCACGGGCGCCCAGCCCCAGGCTGAACCCGTCCCCGGCACCGGCCGCACCTGTGCCATCCTGTCCGTGCAGGGCGCATCATCATCGATGGCATCGACATCGCCAAACTGCCACTGCACACCCTGCGCTCGCGCCTCTCCATCATCCTGCAGGACCCCGTCCTCTTTAGCGGCACCATCCGGTGAGCGTCGCCGCCCCCGCCCCTCGGAGGTGGAGCACAGAGAGGGTGGGGGCGGGGCAGGCAGCTCACTGGAGGGTCCCTCTTGTGCCCAGTGGACCTAGGCAGGCCCTGGTGACAAGTCCCCCCCACCCCCGCACTGCCACCTCTGCAGTGCTCCCGCCCAGCCAGGCCCCCAGGGCCCAGGTCAATTCCCATCTCTGCCCCCTGCTGTCCTCCCCATGGGGTCTTCCTGTGCCCCTCCAGATTCAACCTGGACCCCGAGAGGAAGTGCTCCGACAGCACGCTCTGGGAGGCCCTGGAGATTGCCCAGCTGAAGCTGGTGGTGAAGGCACTGCCGGGAGGCCTTGGTGAGCGCTCGCGGCCGAGTGCGGGGCAGTGGGCACCGAAGGATCCCTAGGGGCCAGGGAGGGCAGGCTTGAATCCATGTCTTAGGTGTGCCCTGAGTTTGCAGCCTGGGGCCCAGCGAGACCCACCCCCCCACCCAGGGCCATTTAGTCCGTCCTCTCCCCATTCAAGTACCCAGGGAGCTCAGGGGAGCCCCGCAGTCCAGGGTCTGGCCCCTCCTGTGGACACAGTGGGACGTTTGGGAGGGTCCCTGTGAAAGACATTGCAAGTCCCCAGTAGCACAGCAGTGTCCTCAGCCGGGCCCTGTCCGGTCTCTCCGCCTGCCCCGTTCTGCCCTGGGGAGGAGACAGGCTGGGAAACCACAGGCACCAGTCAAGGCTGCGAGGGCCCCGCCACCACCCCAGCACTCAGCTTCCCTCACTCGGCGCCAAGGCCCCCACAGCGCATGCCCCCTCCCAGGACGGCCCAGGGCCGCAGCAGCTCACAGCTCACCACAGCCCACGTAAACGGCATCTGTGACGTGTCAGGTGCACCCACCTCGCGCACCCCTGAGCACACTGACTCACACCCACGCATTTCCCTTCTGCCCCACTAACTCGGCCCTGCTCTCCGCCCCGGGGGCTCTTTTCAGATGCCATCATCACCGAAGGCGGGGAGAATTTCAGCCAGGGCCAGAGGCAGCTGTTCTGCCTGGCTCGGGCCTTCGTGAGGAAGACGAGCATCTTCATCATGGACGAGGCCACAGCTTCTATCGACATGGCCACGGTCGGTCCCGGGACGCAGGCCTTCCAGGGGCTTGGGAGGGGCGGTAGAGGCAGGTGTGCACACGGTAGTGCTGAGGCTCACGTTGCCTTTAACAGCGCGGGCTGTGTGTGACCCAGAGGGCAAAGGACTCAGACCCTGAGTCCCTGTAGTCTCGGGAAACGTTCATACACAGGCGCACAACCACATACATATAACCAGGCATAAACACACAGCCACACACACAACCACATGTACACACACAACCACACATACACACACAACCACATGTACACACACAACCACACATACACACACAGCCAAACACAACCACATGTACACACAACCACACGTTCACACATACACAACCACACATAAAACCACACACACACCCATACACTTGCACAATCACCCAACCACACATATACACACTGCCACACACAAAACCACACGTACACACACAAAACCACATGTACACACACACAACCACACATAAAACCACACATACACAACCACACACATGCACACACAACCATACACAACCACACATACAACCGTATGCAGACTTCACGCCTGTCGTCCACCACATAGCACATGCAGACACTCACCTGAGCTCCCAACAGGCTGAGTCAGCCCCCGAATACTGGAAACCTGGCTGGACTCCTGGGGACTGGAGTCAGATACAGGGTGGGGGTGGGGCTGCGGTTGGGGCCCCGGGCCCCGCCTCCCGCCGGGCAGGTGAGCCAACAGCTGCTGCTTCCACCTGGCAGGAGAACATCCTCCAAAAGGTGGTGATGACGGCCTTCGCAGACCGCACTGTGGTTACCATCGCGGTAAGGGGCCTGTTGAAGGGGTGCACAGGGACACCCAGAGAGAGGGCTGGCCTGCTGCAGCCCCTGGGTTTCCCTCTTCCTGGTAAACAAAAAAGACCCTGGAGCAGCTCAGGACAAGAAGTCTGGAGAGCTGGCAGGGACCGGGGATGGGGGATGTGTGCACCTGCACTTCCCTCTGCTTCCTCTCTCTCTCTCTCCAGATTCCAGGGTTCCCCCTGTCCCAAGGCTGGAGTTACTTCTCCATAGGAAGTGGGGGTTGGGAGGCTATGGGGGTGGAGCTGAGACGTGGCGAGGGGAGAGGGTGGTAGTCATGGATGTAGGACTCGGATCCCAGCCACCCAGGAAAGGCAGTGACCACAGACAGGACATCCTGAGCACACCTAGGCTCGGGGCCGGCCGCCGCCCTGACTGGCCCCTCCTGCCCGCCCAGCACCGCGTGCATACTATCCTGAGCGCCGACCTGGTGATGGTCCTGAAGCGAGGCGCCATCCTCGAGTTCGACAAGCCCGAGAAGCTGCTCAGCCGCCAGGACAGCGTCTTTGCCTCCTTTGTGAGAGCGGACAAGTGACCCGCCAGAGCCTCCTGCCACGCCTGCCCCGCCTGCCCCCCCCCCCGCCCCGCCTGGGTTTTCTAACTGCCAATCGCCTGTAAATAAAGAGATTCCGTCTTTGCTGCTGGAGGCCCCCTGTCTGGTGGGCTGGGGCTGGCAGTGGATGGCGGGTGCCTGTCCTTGGCACGGGGCAGACCTGAAGGAGCCGTGTGAGCGTGGGCGGAAGCACGTTTCCATGTCTGTGAAAGGAGGGCTGCCTTTGTCAGGCTGCTGTGACAAACTACTGGGGGACTGTAGCAGCAGCAGCTTGGCTCTCACAGTTCTGCAGGCTCAAGTCCAAGATCAAGGTGTTGCAGCTTTGCTTTCTCCTGACGCCATGCTCCTTGGCTTCCAGACAGACACTGTGTCTTCAAGTGGCCTTTCTGCTGTGCACACCCGTCTCTGGGCTGGCGCTCGCTCTCTCTCTCCCTTTCTCTCTCTCTCTCTCTTTATAAGGATACCAATCTGGACTGGCACTGTGCAGTGCATCCCATACAGGCACCACTTTGAGTCCCAGCTGCTCCACTTCCAAACCATATCCCTGCTGATGGCCTGGGAAAGCAGTAGAAGATGGCCCAAGTCCTTGGGCCTCTGCACACACACGGGAGACCTGAAAGAAGCTCCTGGCTCCTGGCCTCAGATCAGCCCAGCTCAGCCTTTGCAGACATTTGGGGAGTGAGCCAGCAGATGGGAGACCTGTCTCTCTCTGCCTCTGCTTCTCTGTAACTCTGCCTTTCAAATAAATAAATCTTTTTAAAAAAAAAGGGACACCAGTCATATTGGATTGGGGATCCACCACTGTGACCTCACTGACGCTGATGACCCTTGCACATGCCCTGTCTCCAAGTTCCTGTCAGGGCTGCAACCTACAAAGTAGGAGAGAAGGGGCTGCCATTCAGCTCACAGCATGCTGATGGTGTTTCTGTGTTGACTGCATCAAGATAACCTCCACACAGCTTGGTCCCCTTCCTTGCCACTTTCATTCTTGGACTGAAATCATGGGATTTGGAAGCCCTGAAATGTTGCTGTCACCATTGTGAGTGACAGGAATGCAACTCAAAGTGGCTTCAATGAAACTGTGATGTTATTGTGGAGTAAGACTGTGCTACTTGGAGTACAGCACAATCCAGGTGTCTGACATCCACCTCCATTCTGGGTTGCATTGTTGTTTCCCTCTCTGATGACAGATGGCCACATAGCTCACATCCTGTCCCTGGGCAACCCGAGGAGAAAGAGGTATGCTCGTTCCCAGAAGTTCCAGCAAAAATCTCGGGAGCAAACTCACTGCACCCACCTGAATCCCCTCCCTACTCCTACCCAACGCCTGGGGCCAGACAGCTGGACTACAGGGACTAGCTACACCCGGATCAGGTGCCCCCTGGATCAGAGGCCCCCGTTTCTCCCCTACAAGCAGAGCATTCAGATAGGGGGATAGGTGCTTCTTCAGACAGAACACACAATGCCTGTACCACAAGCCAGCCAGGTGGTGGCTGGGCGATGCTGGGATCCAGACACTAGGGAGGCCGAAACAACAGCTGTCCTGACTCCATCTGCATCACCAAACACAAGTGCACGCCTGCCCTTGGCCAAGAAATGGCAGGTGCTTGTTTACATACCACCTTATTGTCACTTACATGTTGTCTGCAGTACTGGCTTACCAGGCCCTGGAGTGCAAGCCTAGGGGTCTTGGGCCTGCATTCCTCTTGGGTTCAAGGGGATCAGAGCCCCCCAACATAAGGAAGCTCCCTACCCCCAATCACTGGAGGGAGGTCCAGTGCAGACCCTTCTGAAGGTTCCAGAAGCCAGGGGAGCTCAGAAAAAGGTGAGCTCTGTGAGGCCTGGCAGGCTGCCTGGGAAAGGCAGGATTTAAGGAGGGCGTGGAAGGAGTTGGGATTGGATGGGCGGAAGGTTAGAAGAAACAGCGGAGGTGCCGCAGGCCGCAGGAGCTGAGGAGTGAAGGTGCACGTGGGTTAGGCCTGTGGGCCAGTCAGGGAGGTGATGCGGCCGCGGTGAGGGCAGCAGGGAAGGGAACGGATCAGAGGGCCGTGACAGCGGACAAGGGGTGTGAGGTAGGCCTGTGTGCAGACAGGAAGTGCAAAAGATTGTTGAGCAAGGCAGGGACCCACCAGCTCAGTGTTCGGGAGACACGGACACAGGGATGAGCAAGTGCAGGAGGGAGCAGAACAGGAAGCTGAGCCCCTGGGGAAGGGGACCTACCCACCTGGAAGGTAGAAAAGGAATAGCAGAAGCCTCAAGCCGGAGCCCAGTCTTCCAGCTCGGATATACCACGTCTCCCCCACGGGGAGGGGGGGCCCTTCAGGCTCTCCCAGGAGCAGACGGAGGAGGGAGAGGACTCTCCCCACCTACCAGTCCTCCACACCCCCAGGAGTGAAGGGAAGCGGCGGGCCAGGATAGGGCCCACACTGAAGCCTGGCGGGGTGTCCAAGGCCATCCTGTCCCAAACTCCCCTAGAGACTTCCCGATGGCCCCCGACCTTGCCCTGGGTACAGCACAGCCGAGGGTCGCCGCTGCCCGTTAGAGCCCACTGCTTCACAGGTGGAACCAGAGCCCCCAGCCCAGCCCTCTGCCCTCCTCCGCCCCCAACCCCGGGGCCCTGCTCCTTGGAGCGTCCCAATCTGCTCCTCCCATCTGCCCCTCTCTGCCCCAGGTCCTGCGCCTGAGTTGATACAAGGGTACTTCAGAAAGTCTGGAAAATGGGATTAAAAGGGCTCCTCGGAAAGTCCATGAGGCGTGTGTGCTACGCAAAACGAATGCACAGCGGGCAGCGGGAGAAGACGGCCGCCCGGCGCCGCCTGCAGGGGTGCACTGCGCTCCTGCGCCTACTAAGGCACTTTTTTTTCTTAAACCAGGGGGGAATCCGGGCTTTCCTTGGGTTCTCAGAGGAGCCGAGACGGAGAGAAGACCGGGAGCAGCCCCTAAAGGGACGCTGAATGGTCCTCGGGCCGCTGACTCCACCTGGCCTGGGGCGCTCCGCCCCTCCGCCCCTCCCATCCCGGGAACCCAGCGCTCCGACCCGACTGCGGACGGGAAAAACCAGGGAGGGCGGCCGGTGCCACTGGAGCAGCTACCCCATCCCAGGAGGGCCGTCTCGTCCCCCCGCCCCATTTTACGGAGCGGGGCACGAGGGACCTCGTCTGGTCCACCTAATGGGACAAACCCCAAGGCCAGATTCAGTCGGAGATAGCAAAAGAGGGGTGGGGAGGGGCGGAGAGACGGCGGTGGGCGGGGCCTGAGCCTGTGCCCGCCTCCTCTCCAGCTCAAGAACGGGTCGGGCTCCCCCTGGCGGTCTCCGTGCCCCCTCCCCACTTCCCGGGCGCCCCCAACCCCCACCTGGCACGGGTCGTCCTGCCAGGACCGACAGACCGACGGTGACTGGAAATCTGCCGGCCGCGCGCAGCCGGGCGGCGGGAGGGGGAGCGGCGGCTGCGGCTTGACGAGCTGGAGCAGGTGCCGCGGCGGCGGCGCGCGGGCGGGGCGGGCACAGGGCTCCGGGCGTGCGGCCGGCAGGGACCCGGAGGCCGCGACTCGCAGGGGCCAAGCTCGGTGGGGTCGCGCCGGGGGCTAAGCTGGGCGGGGTGGTGACTCCGGAGGGCGCAGGATCCCAAGGAGACTGAGAGGACGAGGACTGAAAGGGGGATCCGAAGGGCGGCGGGGGCGCTGCGGGATGGGTGGGGTAGGAAGCAGGGGCATTTGTGGAGCGGAGCCGGGGGTGGCCAGGACGTGAAGCTGGAGCTTGGAGGGAAAGGGGGCAGAGATGGGGGAGGCGGGAGGCGCAGTGGGAGAGGCGTGCGGTCTACTTAGTTGGTGAGATCCCAGGGGCCAGGTTCTGAGGTGGCTGGGAAAGCAGGCAGGCTGGGAGGGGGGCCACAGGGTCCTGGCGGCAGGCCGAGGGCGAGCAGACAGGAGGAGGGCTGGGAGAGGATCCCGGAGCAGGTGGAGCGTCCGCAGCGCCAGAGGGGCTCGCCCGGCAATGGGCAGGTGGGCTGAAGTGTGAAGCAGTGGGGAAAAAAGTGAAGCAGGATCCCGAGAGCCAGGCGGCTCCCACAGTGAGGCCAGCGGCACCGGCTGAGGGTGGGAGGGTGCCCGGGCAGGGGACTCCGCGGGGAGGCCCTAGGCCAGGCCAGAGGGGTGCGCCCCATGGGCGAAGCCCCTCCCTGGGGTCACCGGAGCCATGCTGTCCCGCAAGGGCATCATCCCGGAGGAGTATGTGCTGACGCGGCTGGCCGAGGACCCCGCCGAGCCCAGGTACCGCGCCCGTGAGCGGAGGGCCCGCTTCGTGTCCAAAAAAGGCAACTGCAACGTGGCCCACAAGAACATCCGCGAGCAGGGCCGCTTCCTGCAGGACGTCTTCACCACGCTGGTGGACCTCAAGTGGCCGCACACGCTGCTCATCTTCACCATGTCCTTTCTCTGCAGCTGGCTGCTCTTTGCCATGGTCTGGTGGCTCATCGCCTTCGCCCACGGTGACCTGGCGCCCGGCGAGGGCGCCGCCGTGCCCTGCGTCACCAGCATCCACTCCTTTTCCTCCGCCTTCCTTTTCTCCATCGAGGTCCAGGTGACCATCGGCTTCGGCGGGCGCATGGTGACGGAGGAGTGCCCCCTGGCCATCCTGATCCTCATCGTGCAGAACATCGTAGGGCTCATGATCAACGCCATCATGCTGGGCTGCATCTTCATGAAGACCGCCCAGGCCCACCGGCGCGCCGAGACCCTCATCTTCAGCAAGCACGCCGTCATCGCCCTGCGCCAGGGCCGCCTCTGCTTCATGCTGCGCGTGGGCGACCTGCGCAAGAGCATGATCATCAGCGCCACCATCCACATGCAGGTGGTGCGCAAGACGACCAGCCCCGAGGGCGAGGTGGTGCCACTGCACCAGGTGGACATCCCCATGGAGAACGGCGTGGGCGGCAACAGCATCTTCCTGGTGGCCCCGCTCATCATCCACCACGTCATCGACGCCAACAGTCCACTGTATGACCTGGCGCCCAGCGACCTGCACCACCACCAGGACCTGGAGATCATCGTCATCCTCGAGGGCGTGGTGGAAACCACGGGCATCACCACCCAGGCCCGCACCTCCTACCTGGCAGACGAGATCCTGTGGGGCCAGCGCTTCGTGCCCATTGTGGCCGAGGAGGACGGCCGCTACTCCGTGGACTACTCCAAGTTCGGCAACACCGTGAAAGTGCCCACGCCCCTCTGCACGGCCCGCCAGCTGGACGAGGACCGCAGCCTGCTGGACGCCCTGACGCTCACCTCCGCCCGAGGACCCCTACGCAAGCGCAGCGTGGCCGTCGCCAAGGCCAAGCCCAAGTTTAGCATCTCTCCGGATTCCCTATCCTGAGCCGTGGTCCCTCGGCCCCCCCACAGTTGCAGACATGCGCGTGACGGATGGTGTGGCCTGGTATGTAGAGTGCACGTGCTGCGAGCCCCCTGGCCTGGCCCAGGGCTGGCTCTGAGGCTGGGGCCCCTCAGCCTCTGGCTGTTGCTTACCCAGGGTGTTACACAGCACTTGTCACTACGCTATTTCTGGCCTCAGCGGGAGCCTGTACTGGGATATTTTTATCCCTGCTTCTCCCTGTCCCAGCTTAGGACTGGCTCACCCCTCTCCCCCTGCCCCAGACTGGGGAGCCTGTGGGAGGTGCTGGCCACTAAAGCTGGATCCCTGGCCAGTCCTGGGCCCCTGCAATCAGCCTGCCACGAGCTGCACAGGTGGCTGGCCAAGCACAGTCCCTGCCAATGTTTCTGCGGCCCCAAGAAATGCCCGCTGTCGGGCTCCAGCACCCTTGGTTCTGGAAAAGCGGTTGAGTGGGGCCGGCCATCCAAGGGGGGCAGTGGATGAGGGGTGCATTGCTGCTGGAGGACTGATGCTGCGCAGGCTGCACAGACAGGCAGAGGTTGATGGGGCTCCCTGCGGTGGGGCAGGCTTGCAGGGGGAATGACCTAAGGCAGCTCCACTTTGCTGGGCCCTGCTCAGGCACAGAGAGCAGGAGGTGGGCCTGGCGCCCTGTCCCCATGCCCCCAACGCCAGCCTTCTGCCGAGAAGGCTCTTTGGGTAAGAGCTGCTGCACCTGTCTGCCTCCGTTCTGTCTCCACCCTGGGAGGCTGGAGTGGGTCAGGGCAGACACTGACATGCCAAGTAGAGGGAGGCTGGGGAGAGGGGTTCCTGTGCCCACCACACACTCTGCTCCTGGCCTCCTAGTGGTAACTGGGACTCATTCTGTCCAGAGGGTGACCGGGGTGTGGGGGTGGAGGGTGGGGTGTGTCTCTGGTTGCTGGAAAACTTGTTGAAAAGTTCCGAATGGTGGTGGTGAGTGAGGTGGTGCAGAGGCCCTTGGTCCTGATGGGCTTGCCCTGAACCCGGATTCTCGGGACCATGCTGTGAGTTCTGGCCTGGAATTCTGGCTTCTCTGTTGTCAATAAAGCCACCTCCTCATGACCTAAGTGCTGGGCTCTTCTTCCAGGCAGGCGGCGAGCAGGCTGGTGGGGAGGGAGGGCAGGGCCTGGCAGCTGCCGCCCCGCATTCAGGAGCTGTCATGGGCCCCCGCAGCGAGCCAGGAAGAAGACCTGTGGGAGGTTCCTCTTCCCCCAGCTTCTGCACCTGGTGGCCCAGCAGGCCGTCCCAGCCTGTGGGCACCCACCAGGCTGCATAGCCCTGGTGCTGCTTGCACTCCTGGGGGTCTGTTGAGAGGCAGCTGGGGTGCTCAGGGAGGGGGCAGGGGCATCTTCTGCACCCGAGCAGTGAGCACAGCCCGGGTCTGTTCCAGCTGCAGCTAGACAGCTTCGGTTGAGGACTTAACCTAGGTCTCAGGTGCTTCACCTCCACGTGTCACGCCTACCTCACCAAATGCTGGGGGAGCAGGTGTCCACCTGCAAAATGCCTGGTCTATAGTCAGTGCTCGTGTTGACACTCGTCACAGCTGTTGAGTCAGCCACATTGCAAGAAAACAATCCAAGCCAGGGTTCAGAGAGCGAGAGTCTTTCCCCATTGCCCTCCGTGACACCTCTGTTTGCTCCGTCTTACTTTCTACCCAGCCCAGTCCGTGACTGCAGGGGCTGTGGCGACGCCCATGCTCCGGTCTCCTGGTCTCCGTCTGCCTCGCAGCCGCTGCGGTGGTCTTCCAGGGGTCACGATCATTCCTGCCCCTGTGAGGCACCTTCAGGGGTGCCCCCACCGCCTCCTAGTCAAGGCTCACTTCCTAGCCAGCCCTCTCGGCCCTGACTGCCTTTCTAGGCTTACGGTTCACTGTTCTGTCGCCAGCACCCTGGGCACCCGCCCCTCACTTCCCTGGCAGCCTCCCTGACCCCTCCTTGTACGTGACATTAAGCTTCCTGCCTCTGAGCCTTTACTTATGTTATTCCTTTTGTCTGGACTATCCAGGCCTCATCTCTTTTCTGTTGAAATCCATCAAAGTGCAGCCCAGGGGCCGGCATTGTAGCACAGCAGGTAAAGCTGCCACCTGTGACGCCAACATCCTATATGGGTGCTGGTTTGGGACGGGGTGCTCCACTTCCATCTACCTCTCTGCTAATGCACCTGGGAAAGCAGCGGAGGGTGGCCAAAAGGCTTGGGCCCCTGCATCCACATGGGAGACCTGGGGAGGACTCCTGACTCCTGGCTTTAGCCTTGCCTAGCCCTGGCCCTTGCAGCCATTTGGGGAGTGAACTAGCAGATGAAAGACCTCCCTCTCTCTCTCTGTATATCTCTTCCTCTCTCTCTTTCTCTCTCTCTCTCTCTCTCTCTCTCTCTCTTTCTCTCTCTCTCTCTCTCTCTCTCTCTCTGTAACTCTGACTTTCAAATAAGTAAATACATCTTAAAAAAAAAAACTCCAGTCCAAATGATGCCTCCTTGAAGCCTCTCCAGCTTTCTCTGAACAGAGATGCTCCCTCACTCCTCTGCCCTCAGCACTCTCTTTTTGCCTGTGTTTATTAGCCTTTCCCCCATCCACAAGTCCATGAACAGGTGCTGAATGCATGAATGAATGAATGATGCCTACAACAGGAAGCCAGGGCCGCTACAGTGTGAGAGGTGCTTGAGCCAGATCAGGGAGGGTTTTTTTCCAAGATGCCCCAGAGGCAGGGCCCAGGGGACCAAGAAGCTGCTACTGGTGATCTGAGAGCTAAGCTGTCCTCTCCCTGCACCCACACAGGCCCCACTGCTGATTCCCCTCCTAACAGGGCTGACCCATTTCTAATTTGGAGGGAGAAATAAAAAGCTACGCAGTCAGCCCAGTGCTCTCAGGACTCAGCTCAGCTGTCCCTAAGGCTGAGGGAAGGGTAGGAGTCACTAATGAGGAGCCTGAGGTGGCAGCAGCATCCTGGAGTCCCATCCAGAGTTACCTTCCTCCACGCCAGCGAAGGAAGACCTGAAACTGCTGGTGACGGAGCCCAGAGCTGGCAGAACTGAGGGCCCAGCACCACCTGCTGGCTACAGAGCAGATCGACGTGATCCCAGGAAAATCGGGGCCACTGGTCCTAGGCTCCCGCCCCCCCTCCCCCGCCCGCCCCGCCCCGGTCCAAGGAAGATCCTTAGCAGAGGGGAAGCTGGCAAGTTCCAGACATGGGAAAGTTGGGTAGCTGGACCACACCCTCCTTGCCCCACAAGAACAAGAGGAAAGTGTACTTAGGGAACCCTGGAGCTTCCTTGAGGTCTCTGATTTGAGACTGAGAGTGTGCCCAGCCGTGTTGTGAGAGCCCCAGCTTTAAGCACAACACATCCAGAGTCAGAGGACCTCACGGGCACTTGCTCTGGCCCATGTGCATGGCGCAGTCTTGCAGGAGGACTGGGCTCCTTGCCATCTGGGTGCCTTTCCTCCAGCCAGTCCAGTCGCGGGGCAAGCTGATGGGGCGCATCCTCCATCTGTTCCCAGCTCACCTCAATGGTATGACGCGCATTCTGGGCCTCAGTCCTGAACTCCACAGGGGAGGGAAGCCAGGTCACTCTCTTCCTGTACCAAAACCGCTAGTCTGGAAAAACTAACCCACTGGCCATCCTGGAAAACTGCCAAGGCCTCCGCGCCTGTGGATTTGGCATCTCCAGTCAGTCAGCACGAGGCCCGCATGTGCTCCACGAAGATGCTCCCCTCACCCTTCTGGGGGTGACCCAGCCAGCTTCTACAAGACCCGCTGGGACCTACAGTGGCATCCTCCCAGCTCTCCACCTCAGCTCCTCCCTGCTGGATCCTGCTCTCACAGGCGTATCTAGGTTGTACGGTGCCAGGCAGAAGACTTGGGGAAGACATGGATCCTATACATGACAGTCAGCCCAACTCCTAGACTGAGGCATGGCTAAAGAACACTCCAGTCTGAAATGAGCTGGGGGAAAAGAAGCAAAGTGAGTTTGAAGTCTGAACTGGGACCAGCACTCAGTTTCATTGCACTGGAGTTGAGGTTATTGGCAAATTCTCTGGGGAGGCAGGTATAGCCTACACCCCAGTCTAGTTCTACCCTAGCCGGGCCCTACCCCACTTCTTTCCGGGCACTGACCAATGAAACAAAGAGCATATGCAGCTCCACGGTTTGGTTCCTGCAGCAGGAGAAGCAACAGTGCACAGGTGCATGGCACGCGTCAGAGCCGTTCTGAGCTTTCTTCAGCTGATCAGCTCAGCTAACCCTTGTCTCTGAGTCGCATGACTCCTCTCATGAAATGTCATTCTATGTAGCATAAATACGTCTCCACTTCCTCATCCCCTGACCATCAGCATCCCAGCTGAAGCAAACCAGACTCTTTTTAACTTAGTATTTGATTTATTATCTTTTAAAAAAAAAAAGGTTTAAGCAAGATTTATTAGAGTCAGAGACCTCCAGCCAGAGTAGCATGGAGGGGGGCTCCAAGAAAGGCAAAACTGAAGGGCCCCATGTACTGGGGTTTTTAAGCACAATCTTGGGGAAGAAGAAACCTGACATTCAGTTACAAGGTGGGGACAAAACCTACCAAAAGACCTGATTTGCAATCTTTTATCCTGTCTGGCATGATCATGATAAAACAAAAAGAGCCTTCAGAAGGGTGGGATACCTAATTTGCTTTACAGTAAACTAGGAGCTCAGAAGGAATCGCCACCTCTTGCTTTTCTCAGGGTAAGACCAGAAGCTTCTAAGGAGTGGGCAGGCAGATACTATTTTTTAAAAAAGATTTAAAGATTTTTTTTTTTTTTGACAGGCAGAGTGGACAGTGAGAGAGAGACAGAGAGAAAGGTCTTCCTTTTGCTGTTGGTTCACCCTCCAATGGCCGCCACGGCCGGTGCATCGCACTGATACGAAGCCAGGAGCCAGGTGCTTCTCCTGGTCTCCCATGGGGTGCAGGGCCCAAGCACTTGGGCCATCCTCCACTGCACTCCCGGGCTAC